CAGTTCAGACAGGAATTATTGGAACTGCCTGTGTTTAAGTCCCTTTGCTCTGATGAAGTTTATGCACGACACCACAACCTTCATTACAGAATCCCACGTCAACACTTTGCAGCACAGTGCTTGCTGGTGAATTAGGCAGTGGACTCGTAGCGGGGCGGTGAGACCCCTTTTTTCCAACTCCCGGTTCATGCGTCCTATTAGACCGCGAGTTTCGCCCACCATGCTAGGAGCCCCGTCAGTCGTGATGCTAGCTAGCTTTGACCAGTCCAGGTCCAACTTCTCCATGGTTTGGCACACTTTGTCAAAAATATCCTCTCCCGTTGTAGTCCCTTTGAGACTTTGGAGGGCTGCCAGCTCCTCACATATCTCAAAGTTTGCGCTAACTCCACGAATAAAAATGAGCAGTTGCGCTGTGTCTTGCACGTCCGTGCTCTCATCCAGTGCTAATGAAAAAAGGTCAAATTCTTTCGTCTTCTGCTGCAGCTGGGCATATACATTACTCCCGATTTCTTCAACGCGTCTGGTGATTGTACTCGCCGACAGACTTACGGCATTAAATGCATCTTTCTTCTCGGGACACACCTCCTCCGCGACAGCATCCATACATTTCTTAACAAACTCTCCGTCAGTGAAAGGCTTACCGCTGCTTGCTATCAGTTTAGCAACCCGAAAGCTGGCCCGAACGGATGCCTGGTTCAGCTGAGCTTGGCGTACAAATGTATTCTGCTGAGATAGTAGTCCACTTTTTAGCTTTGAGAGTTTGTCTGCTCGTATTTGGCCTTGCAAGCTATCGTACTTGTCTTTGTGACGGGATTCATAGTGTCGGCGAAGATTGTATTCTTTGAATACCGCCACCGTCTCTTGACAGATGAGACAAACAGCCTTTTCTTTGCATTGAACAAAAAAATTATCGTTTGTCCACTGCAGGTTAAATACCCTGCATTCTGAATCAATTTTTCTCTTACCTAACCTTTTCGCCATTATTCCGTTCTCTCTTTGACAGGGCCGGGCCTAGGATTTTTTTTCTGGAGGCCAAATAGGAAAAAAATCCGATAGCGTCTCTGGTATTGTTCAGAGGGCCGGGCCAAATGTGCTGACGGGCCGTATCCGGCCCGCGGGCCGTAGTTTGGTGACCACTGCTATAGACTCTATCCACTTCTGGGAAAATTGGAAAACACTAAACAAACAAAAACACGAAGAGCTATCCATTCAAAACTGAGATGTTTGGGTAAACCACTTCTCCAATCTTTTTGCTCATATAACAAAGAACAAACAGCAAAAAAATATACATGATCAAATGCAAATCTTAGAATAAACTATTAAAGACTACCAGAACCCACTGGATTCTCCAATTACATTGAATGAACTACAGGACAAAATACAAACCCTCCAACCCAAAAAGGCCTGTGGTGTTGATGGTTAAATTATTTAAATTATATTTAATTATCAATTAAATTATCAAATATACAGACCACAAATTCCAATTGGCTATACTTAAACTATTTAACATCATCCTTAGCTCTGGCATCTTCCCCAATATTTGGAACCAAGGACTGATCACCCCAATCCACAAAAGTGGAGACAAATTTGACCCCAATAACTACCGTGGGGTATGCATCAACAGCAACCTTGAGAAAAACCTCTGCATTATCATTAACAGCAGACTAGTTCATTTCCTCAGTGAAAACAATGTACTGAGCAAATGTCAAATTGGCTTTTTACCAAATTACCATTCAACAAACCACATATTCTCCCTGCACACCCTAATTGACAAACAAACAAAACAAAACAAAGGCAAAGTCTTCTCATGCTTTGTTGATTTCAAAAAAGCTTTTGACTCAATTTTGCATGAGGGTCTGCTATACAAATTGATGGAAAGTGGTGTTAGGGGAAAAACATACGACATCATAAAATCCATGTACACAAACAACAAGTGTGCGGTTAAAATTAGCAAAAAAAACACATTTCTTTCCACAGGGCCGTGGGGTGAGACAGGGATGCAGTTTAAGCCCCACTCTCTTCAACATATATATAAACGAATTGGCGAGGGCACTAGAACAGTCTGCAGCACCCGGCCTCACCCTACTTGCTGATGATCTGGTGCTTCTGTCACCAACCAAGGAGGGTTGGTGTATGTATTTCAAGGCCTACCTTCAAACTCAGTGCCTCTTTGCTTGACATCATGGGAAAATCAAAAGAAATCAGCCAATATCTCAGAAAAGAAATTGTAAACAATTCTGGTTCATCCTTGGGAGCAATTTCCAAATGCCTGAAGGTACCACGTTCATCTGTACAAACAATAGTACGCAAGTATAAACACCATGGGAACACGCAGCCGTCATACCACTCAGGAAGGAGACGCGTTCTGTCTCCTAGAGGTGAACGTACTTTGGTGCGAAAAGTGAAAATCAATCCCAGAACAACAGCAAAGGACCTTGAGAAGATGCTGGAGGAAACAGGTACAAAAGTATCTATATCCACAGTAAAACGAGTCCCATATCGACATAACCTGAAAGGCCGCTCAGCAAGGAAGAAGCCACTGCTCCAAAACCGCCATAAAAAAGCCAGACTACGGTTTGCAACTGCACATGGGGACAAAGATTGGACTTTTTGGAGAAATGTCCTCTGGTCTGATGAAACAAAAATAGAACTGTTTGGCCATAATGATCATTGTTACGTTTGGAGGAAAAAGGGGAACGCTTGCAAGCTGAAGAACACCATCCCAACCGTGAAGCACGGGGGTGGCAGCATCATGCTGAGGGGGTGCTTTGCTGCAGGAGGGACTGGTGCGCTTCACAAAATAGATGGCATCATGAGGAAGGAAAATGATGTGGATATATTGAAGCAACATCTCAAGACATCAGTCAGGAAGTTAAAGCTTGGTCGCAAATGGGTCTTCCAAATGGACAATGACCCCAAGCATACTTCCAAAGTTGTGGCAAAATGGCTTAAGGACAACACAGTCAAGGTATTGGAGTGGCCATCACAAAGCCCTGACCTCAATCCTATAGAAAATGTGTGGGCAGAACTGAAAAAGCGTGTGCGAGCAAGGAGGCCTACAAACCTGACTCAGTTACACCAGCTCTGTCAGGAGGAATGTGCCAAAATTCACCCAACTTATTGTGGGAAGCTTGTGGAAGGCTACCCGAAACGTTTGACCCAAGTTAAACAATTTAAAGGCAATGCTACCAAATACTAATTGAGTGTATGTAAACTTCTGACCCACTGGGAATGTAGTGAAAGAAATAAAAGCTGAAATAAATCATTCTCTCTACTATTATTCTGACATTTCACATTCTTAAAATAAAGTGGTGATCCTAACTGACCTAAGACAGGGAATTTTGACTAGGATTAAAAGTCAGGAATTGTGAAAAACTGAGTTTAAATGTGTTTGGCTAAGGTGTATGTAAACTTCCGACTTCAACTGTAGATCTTCTGCACAGATTCTGTCAGACCTGGGCCCTGACAGTAAATCTCAGTAAGACAAAAATAATAGTGTTCCAAAAAAGGTCCAGTTGCCAGGACCACAAATACAAATTCCATCTAGACACCGTTGGCCTAGAGCACACAAAAAACTATCCTTACCTTGGCCTAAACATAAGCGCCACAGGTAACTTCCACAAAGCTGTGAACGATCTGAGAGAAAAGGCATCAAATGCCATCAAAAGGAGCGCCACAGGTAACTTCCACAAAGCTGTGAACGATCTGAGAGACAAGGCAAGAAGGGCCTTCTATGCCATCAAAAGGAACATCAAATTCAACATACCAATTAGGATCTGGCAAAAAATACTTGAATCAGTTATAGAACCCATTGCCCTTTATGGTTGTGAGGTCTGGGGTCCGCTCACCAACCAAGAATTCACAAAATGTGACAAACACCAAATTGAGACTCTGCATGCAGAATTCTGAAAAAAATATCCTCTGTGTACAAAGAAAAATACCAAAAAATGCATGCAGAGCAGAATTAGGCAGATACCCGCTAATTACCCAAATCCAAAAAAAAAGAGCAGTTAAATTCTATAACCACTTAAAAGGAAGCGATTTCCAAACCTTCCATAACAAAGCCATCACCTACAGAGAGATGAACTTGGAGAAGAGTCCCCTAAGCAAGCTGGTCCTGGGGCTCTGTTCACAAACACAAACAGACCCCACAGAGCCCCAGGATAACAACACAATTAGACCCAACCAAATCATGAGAAAACAAAAAGAGAATGACTTGACACATTGGAAATAATTAACAAAAAAAACAGAGCAAACTTGAATGCTATTAGGCCCTAAACAGGGAGTACACAGAGGCAGAATACCTGACCACTGTGACTGACCCAAACTTAAGGAAAGCTTTGACTATGTACAGACTCAGTGAGCATAGCCTTGCTATGGAGAAAGGCTGCCATAGGCAGACCTGGCTCTCAAGAGAATACAGGCTATATGCACACTGACCACAAAATGAGGTGGAAACTGAGCTGCACTTCCTAACCTCCTGCCAAATGTATGACCATGTTAGAGACACATATTTCCTTCAGATTACACAGATCCACAAAGAAAACAAACCCAATTTTGATAAACTCCCTTATCTACTGGGTGAAATACCACAGTGTGCCATCACAGCAGCAATATTTGTGACCTGTTGCCACAAGAAAAGGGCAACCAGTGAAGAACAAACACCATTGTAAATACAACCCACATTTATGTTTATTTATTTTCCCTTTTGTACTTTAACTATTTGCACATTGTTACAACACTGTATATATACATAATATGACATTTGAAATGTCTTTATTATTTTGCAACTTCTGAGTGTAATGTTTACTGTTAATATTTATTGTTTATTTCACTTTTATTGAATTGAGAGAGAGAGAGAGAGAGAGAGAGAGAGAGAGAGAGAGAGACAGAGAGAGAGACACAGAGAGCGAGACACAGAGAGAGAGAGACACAGAGAGAGACACAGAGAGAGACCTAGACAGCAACAGATAAAAAGTGAGACCGAACGTCAACTGTGAATGTCTCTCCACAGTGATATAGCCAGTCTGGACAGGTTTGGGTACTGCCGTATAGTGGGACGTATAAAGGACATGATCATACGTGGAGGAGAGAACATCTACCCTGCTGAGATAGAGCAGTTCCTTCACACCCATCCCAAAGTACAGGAGGCCCAGGTGAGATCCACACCCATCTCAAAGTACAGGAGGCCCAGGACTCAGCACCACTAGAGGGCAGCAGAGAAAATCTATCTAGGAAATGTTAGTACCAAACCCTTAGTTCTAGAACCTTTCATTTCCTGTCTTCATTTCTCAATACTCCTATCACCATATGATAGCCAACAGTAGGTATGATTGGAACAGTTTTCTGATTGTAGTATATCCAAATCCATACACAAAAAAAAACTGTATGCACGTATGACTGTAAGTCGCTTTGGATAAAAGCGTCTGCTAAATGGCATATTATTATTATTATTATTATTATTATTATTATTATTATTATTATTATTATTATATCCAAGTGTTTATTTTCTCTCCCTGTCCCGTCCACCTCTCTTTCTCCCCAGGTGATAGGTGTGAGAGATGAGAGGATGGGGGAACAGGTGTGTGCCTGTATCAGACTGAAGGAGGGGCAGGACTGTAGCAGAGAGGAGATCAGAGACTTCTGCAAGGGACAGGTGACACAGAGACAGGAAGTGACATGACCTGTGAATCGATCATTGTCAGGCTTAGAACTTCTCCTATGTCAACTGTTATATACTTTGTTATATTGAGTTTATAGCTACATGCATCTGCTTCTACTGTTCCAGATTTCTCACTTCAAGATCCCACACTATGTGGTGTTTGTGGACAGCTATCCACTGACTGCCTCTGGAAAGGTAGGATGGCTTTATGACAGCGTGTTTTCTCTGTCTTAATTCAGATCATCAGTTGACCAATGTTCTGTATCATGATCACCTCTCTGTTTTCCCTTTCCTAGATCCAGGAGATCAAACTGAGGGAGGAGATGGAGAAGAAGCTGGGTCTTTGATGGACAGAGGGACTAGACAGACAGGGCTAATTGCAACCAACATGTCAACACGAGGTGATCTCTTGTTAAACCATCAATGTGCCTTAAAGATCACCCGCACAGTGAATCTGAACTGCAACCACTATTGGTCACCGTATTCCCGCTCCCTAAAGCTGATGTGGTGTTAACGTTTAGTCGTGGTTGCTGACAACATTTGTTTTAAACTATTTTGTCCTCTGGTAGGTATTATCTTCTGTATAAATTAAACCTACTATTTCAGCAGACTAAGCACACATTTAACTATTTGACAATCATTTTGTGCAACTGAAATGAGGTATTTCCTTGTTAAGGAAGGTCCCATGTAGCTCAGTTGGTAGAGCATGGTGCTAGCAACGCCAGGGTTGTGGGTTCGTTTCCCACGGGGGGCCAGTATAAAATAAAAATATATATATATTACGCACTCACTAACTAACTGTAAGTCACTCTGTATAAGAGTGTCTGCTAAATGACTAAAATGTAACACAGATAATCTACTGTGGCAATTTACACTACACATGTTATGAATGGAAAGGTCATGTTGGTGTACTTACTTGTATGTCCAATGTACTGTATGTAATCCATTAATAACAACTTGTCTTTATACAGTGTGGTCCTTTCTTAATGAAATATCCCTGAACTGTCCACATCTAACATTGTTAACTAAATCAAGCCAATCATGATTGAGTTAATATAATCTATGTTTTCCTTAAGGCCTATGTAAAATGGCCGACTATGTGTCTTCTTTACATTTACGTCATTTAGCAGACGCTCTTATCCAGAGCGACTTACAAATAGGTGCATTCACCTTATAGCCAGTGGGATAACCACTTTACATTTTTTTTTTTTTTTTTTTTTGGGGGTGGAGGTAGAAGGATTACTTTATCCTATCCCAGGTATTCCTTAAAGAGGTGGGGTTTCAAATGTCTCCGGAAGGTGGTGAGTGACTCCGCTGTCCTGGCGTCGTGAGGGAGCTTGTTCCACCATTGGGGTGCCAGAGCTGCAAACAGTTTTGACTGGGCTGAGCGGGAACTATGCTTCCGCAGAGGTAGGGGAGCCAGCAGGCCAGAGGTGGATGAACGCAGTGCCCTCGTTTGGGTGTAGGGACTGATCAGAGCCTGAAGGTACGGAGGTGCCGTTCCCCTCACAGCTCCGTAGGCAAGCACCATGGACTTGTAGCAGATGCGAGCTTCAACTGGAAGCCAGTGGAGTGTGCGGAGGAGCGGGGTGACGTGAGAGAACTTGGGAAGGTTGAACACCAGACGGGCTGCGGCATTCTGGATGAGTTGTAGGGGTTTAATGGCACAGGCAGGGAGCCCAGCCAACAGCGAGTTGCAGTAATCCAGACGGGAGATGACAAGTGCCTGGATTAGGACCTGTGCCGCTTCCTGTGTAAGGCAGGGTCGTACTCTCCGAATGTTGTAGAGCATGAACCTACAGGATCGGGTCACCGCCTTGATGTTAGCGGAGAACGACAGGGTGTTGTCCAGGGTCACGCCAAGGCTCTTCGCACTCTGGGAGGAGGACACAACGGAGTTGTCAACCGTGATGGCGAGATCATGGAACGGGCAGTCCTTCCCCGGGAGGAAGAGCAGCTCCGTCTTGCCGAGGTTCAGCTTGAGGTGGTGATCCGTCATCCATACTGATATGTCTGCCAGACATGCAGAGATGCGATTCGCCACCTGGTTATCAGAAGGGGGAAAGGAGAAGATTAGTTGTGTGTCGTCAGCGTAGCAATGATAGGAGAGGCCATGTGAGGATATGACAGAGCCAAGTGACTTGGTGTATAGCGAGAATAGGAGAGGGCCTAGAACTGAGCCCTGGGGGACACCAGTGGTGAGAGCACGTGGTGCGGAGACAGCTTCTCGCCACGTCACTTGGTAGGAGCGACCGGTCAGGTAGGACGCAATCCAAGAGTGAGCCGCGCCGGAGATGCCCAGTTCGGAGAGGGTGGAGAGGAGGATCTGATGGTTCACAGTATCAAAGGCAGCAGACAGGTCTAGAAGGACAAGAGCAGAGGATAGAGAGTTAGCTTTAGCAGTGCGGAGAGCCTCTGTGACACAGAGAAGAGCAGTCTCAGTTGAATGACCAGTCTTGAAACCTGACTGGTTTGGATCAAGAAGGTCATTCTGAGAGAGATAGCAAGAGAGTTGGCTAAAGACGGCACGCTCAATAGTTTTGGAGAGAAAAGAAAGAAGGGATACTGGTCTGTAGTTGTTGACATCAGAGGGATCGAGTGTTGGTTTTTTGAGAAGGGGTGCAACTCTCGCTCTCTTGAAGACGGAAGGGACATAGCCAGCGGTCAAGGATGAGTTGATCAGCGAGGTGAGGTAAGGGAGAAGGTCACCGGAGATGGTCTGGAGAAGAGAGGAGGGGATAGGGTCAAGCGGGCAGGTTGTTGGGCGGCCTGCCGTCACAAGTCGCAAGATTTTATCTGGAGAGAGAGGGGAGAAAGAAGTCAAAGCATAGGGTAGGGCAGTGTGAGCAGGACCAGCAGTGTCATTTGACTTAACAAACGAGGATCGGATGTCGTCAACCTTCTTTTCAAAATGGTTGACGAAGTCATCCACAGAGAGGGAGGAGGGGGGGGATTCAGCAGGGAGGAGAATGTGGCAAAGAGCTTCCTAGGGTTAGAGGCGGATGCTTGGAATTCAGAGTGGTAGAAAGTGGCCTTAGCAGCAGAAACAGATGAAGAAAATGTAGAGAGGAGGGAGTGAAAAGATGCCAGGTCTGCAGGGAGTCTAGTTTTCTTCCATTTCCGCTCAGCTGCCCGGAGCTCTGTTCTGTGAGCTCGCAATGAGTCATCAAGCCACGGAGCTGGAGGGGAGGACCGAGCCGGCCGGGAGGATAGGGGACATAGAGAGTCAAAGGATGCAGAAAGGGAGGAGAGGAGGGTTGAGGAGACAGAATCAGGAGATTGGAGGGAGAAGGATTGAGCAGAGGGAAGAGATGATAGGATGGAAGAGGAGAGAGTAGCGGGAGAGAGAGAGTGAAAGTTGCGACGGCGCATTACCATCTGTGTAGGGGCAGAGTGAGTAGTGTTGGAGGCAGTGGCGGCTGGTGAAAAATATTCTCGGTGGGGCTGTGCCATACTTTTTTTTTCCTGTAACCATCGCGATATATTTTAACACAAACTGCAGGACAGCAGTGCTCAGTGAAACATTCAGTAATTATTTAATGCCAATATTAAAAAGTTGAGGCATTCTTACACAAAAACATATTACACAAACCCAAGCCTTTCATTTGCATTTAAAGTGAACTTTTCACCATTGGTAGTAAACAGGCAACGCAACAGGCATGCTGTCAGAACAGAGTGGAAAGTGGACAATAACATGAAATTATTATAAAGTTTATAGGAAATCTTACACTGTATAAAAGGATGTATAATATAGAAATGGATATCAAGTGGATGAACTCAAACCTTTGACTGGAAGAATAGCATACAGTATTTTATGATCATACTAAATGTGACTAATTGTTAATGTGCTCCAGAACTGCAACAATTAATTGATACAAACAACATATATACAGTAATATTAGCAAAGACACTATTAAGACTTTCTAGAGTACCATATATAACTGGATTTTTTATGCTAAGGTCAACTATGTACAAAGAAACATGCGGCCAGAGCTGCTCTGTGTGTGTGTGTCTGTCATCTTATTTGTACAGGAATTTTGCCCGTCTGTCCTTCTGAGTGGCAAACCTCTCAATGACCCTTTGATTAAAGTCAGGAATGTCCCTGACAAGTTTCTTCTCCATGGAGAGCATGGCCAGAGCGTTCAGGCGATCCTGTGTCATGCTGTTTCTCAGGAAGGTCTTGATCCTTTTCAGTGTAGAGAAGCACCTTTCTGACTCAGCAGTTGTCATGGGTGTGGTGATGAGGATCTTGAGGAGGCTGGCAGTCTCTGTGAAAGTGCTCTGAAGGTTGTTCTCCATGAAGAACTGGTACAGGGGCACTGCACCACTACAAGCCTTGAACTCACTGTTCTCATAGATGAGGGACAGTTCGGTTTTGAGCTTGGCCTTGTTCAACATGGGGTACGCCTCCACGGTTGTTTCAAGCGCTGTATCGGGGAACTTCACACTGTGTTGTGGGAACAACTCTCCGTGCAATAGTGTTGCGCTGATGAGGTGCTGGGTGAAGGAGAACCTCTCTTTGGCATGACTCAGGATGGTATCACATACCTGTAAAAGATACATCATCAGCTTTAATTTGCAATTAAGCTATTTTGATGCAAGTGATCCTGACTGACACATGCCTATGTCCAACTCAAGTATATGATTACCAAGGTGCTGATTGTTCAGGGTTTTGGCTACATACTACCAGGCCTGAAAAAAGTTCTAGGGGGAAACACTGACAATTACATCACAACTTACCTCTATAGCCAACCTCTGTTGTTCTCCTGGTCCCAGCATCCTCCGTCGCTTGATGGGCTGTTGCTGCTCGTCAGATGCGCTGTCCCCACACAAAGAGGGAATTGAGGCCCTGGGTCCAAAAAATAAAGTTTAATTTGATAACTTGCAATCAGACTTCTTAACTCACTGTAATTCCCCCTCAACACACAACCAGTGACTTTTATATATATATATATATATATATATATATATATATATATATATATATATATATATATATATATAGACAGACAGACAGACAGACAGACAGATAGTGTGTATATACACACAAACTATGTCTAGTAACTGCTTTTAACCTGTGATGTACATAATTAACTGATGTTATTACGTTTTAAAGCCTTTTTCTATTACATTTGTGAGAGGGATGCAACATCATTTTGTTCTGCTGTGCACTTAGCAATAAAGTTAATCTTCAATAACAACTAGGCCTCTTCTAGAAATTGACCTGGTGGACACCTGAATAATTATTACAAACTGTGTAGTACTTTCCTGCATTATTATCAACGTCTGATTGTGTCTTCTCTTTCCTTTTAAAATACTAAAACAAATATAATTGTGACGGCTCTATGATAATCACTCACTTTGATGACCAGACACATTTAGGCTTTTAAACTGTTGTAAGTGAACTATTCATCTTTCTAACAACATCTTTATCAGCCAATAGTAAATATAGTTATTTACCTGATTGTTAGCATGCTGTCTGTGAACCTCTGGACAAGTGCTTTAATGAAGACAGGGTCGATGTTCCTCTTCTGCAGCTGGCTGAAAAGCATGTCCACATTTGGCATGATCTTGTGGAACAGTGCCAGGAAAAAACAGAAAGCCTCGTCTTCGAGCATCCTCACAAAGCCCCCCGCCTCTCTGACAGTCGGGGCATCAAAGTTCCCAGAGTCTCTGATGGTCTGGAAACACGTTAGGAGGTCATCCCTGTACTCGTACACAGTGTTTACAGCGCGACTGTGGAAGTTCCACCGTGTTGTAGAGGCTCTGGGGAGTCTATGCGCAACCACTTCGTCAAGCACGGTGGTTCGCTTGGGAGACCTGGAGAAGAAAGCAGAAAATCCTGCAAGGTCGGAAAAGAAAGTGCCGATCCTGGGGATGCGTGAAGTAGCCTGCTGCATGATGAGGTTCAGCTGATGTGCATAGCAGTGGACGTAGTGCGCATTTTCGTACACATCCACTATTTTACGCTGCACTCCGCCGGTGGCTCCCCTCATCACACTTGCTCCGTCGTAAGCCTGGGCAATAAGTTTGGCCTTTTGTCCATGTGAGAGTATGGTGCTGAGCCTCTCCAGCAGCGCTGTAGCGATGGTGTCGGCGGTTGCGTTCTCGATCAAAATGAACTCGAAAAAACGCTCTTGGACGTTACTTTTAGCATCGATGTAGCGTATCACAAGCACCAACTGGCAGTGGGTGGAAACGTCAGTCGTCTCGTCAGCTTGAATGGCGATAAAATCAGCACTCTTTACTTCCTCCAGGATGTAATCCTTAAGCACTGACAGCATACAGTCCAACAGCTCGTTCTGTATCGTCTTTGACGTGCCCTTAAAAACGGTAGCTGTCTTCAGGTGCTCCTCCAGCACACTGTCGAGGGAGGCAACAAAATCCACTAAGCCCCGGAAAATGCCGGGGTTGTCCGAGGAGTCAGTCTCCTCGTGCCCACGCAAGGCCAACTCAAAAGCCCCACAGAACTTCACACAATCGATAATTTTGGATAGAATGTGCCTGTTTTTATCCACCTCCTCATTGTGTTTCCTCACCGCAATCCTGTGGCCGTCATCCAGCTGCGTAGCAATGTTCACCCTTCCTAATACAGCTAGCTTTACAGAGTTGTCCATGTGTGCCCTGGTGTTCTCATGTTTCTTTACCTTCTCTGACAGGTGCTTCATATCCCTCACTCCGGTACCTGTCCATGCTGAATCTGACCCCGTCGTTTTAAAAAGCAAGCACGGAAAGCAAAATAAAGCATTAGCATCAGTGCACCCAGCTAGCCAAGCCTTCCTGGTGTACCAGCTACGGGAGAAGCCGCGCATATACTGCTTCCCTTTCTCGCTAGCCTGCTGTCTGATTGAGAGGTCAGGTTGATCTGGGCCCAGCTCTTTCACCCGAACTTTCTCTGACAAAGTTCTCCTCTCAAACGGATCTTGGAGGAGAGATTTCACCGAGTTAGGGTTGGGTCTTGGAGGAGTAACGTTTGCGCTCGCCATTGTCGTCTAGTAAAAATGGCGCCACTGGAGCCCGGTCCTTATTTTATCAGGGGCGAGCTTGGGGCGATAAAATAATCGCCCTCCTTGGATTCGATTTAAGATCGCTGATTGGCTACATTTTATGTCATACATTCATATCTTAAATTAGCAATTGGCTTAACTGCTACGTAGACCCGCCTCCTCGGGGCACTTTCTGTATCGCCCAGAGCTGACGAGGCGTTTGACAGGCAGAGGAAAGGTTGCGAATATGATTTTCTATCATATCTTACACATATTACTGTGTGCATTCCATATTTCAAACACACAAATATTGACATACTGATGTTTTTATTATTATTATTATTATTTTTATTTATTTTTTATTTTATTTTTTAAAATAATTTTATTTAAGGGGGCGGCGCCCTAGCGCCCTCTATCGGCCAGCCGCCACTGGTTGGAGGAGAGGGAGAGAGAAAAGGATACAAAGTAGTGGTCGGAGACTTGGAGGGGAGTTGCAGTGAGATTAGTAGAAGAACAGCATCTAGTAAAGATGAGGTCAAGCGTATTGCCTGCCTTGTGAGTAGGGGGGGACGGTGAGAGGGTGAGGTCAAAAGAGGAGAGGAGTGGAAAGAAGGAGGCAGAGAGAAATGAGTCAAATGTAGACGTAGGGAGGTTGAAATCCCCCAGAACTGTGAGGGGTGAGCCATCCTCAGGAAAGGAACTTTAAGGATGATTTAATATAATCTATGTTTTCAATAAGGCCTATGTAAAATGGCAGACTGTTTCTTCTTTAAGGATTACTTAATATAATCTAGGTTTTCATTAAGGCCTAAGTAAAATGGCAGACTGTCTTTAAGGTTTGAGTTCATATAATCTATGTTTTCATTAAGGCCTATGTAAAATGGCAGACTGTCTTCTTTAAGGTTTGAGTTAATACAATCTATGTTTTCATTAAGGCCTATGTAAAATGGCCGACTATGTGTCTTCTTTAAGGTTTGAGTTAATATAATCTATGTTTTCATTAAGTTCTATGTAAAATGGCAGACTGTGTGTCTTCTTTAAGGTTTGAGTTAATATAATCTATGTTTTCATTAAGGCCTATGTAAAATGGCAGACTGTGTGTCTTCCTTAAGGTTTAAATTAATAATAATCTGTTTTCATTAAGGCCTATGTAAAATGGCAGACTGTCTTCTTTAAGGTTTGAGTTAATATAATCTATGTTTTCATTAAGTTCTATGTAAAATGGCAGACTGTGTCTTTAAGGTTTGAGTTAATACAATCTATGTTTTCATTAAGGCCTATGTAAATAGCAGACTGTGTGTCTTCCTTAAGGTTTAAATTAATATAATCTGTTTTCATTAAGGCCTATGTAAAATGGCAGACTGTGTCTTCCTTAAGGTTTAAGTTAATATAATCTGTTTTCATTAAGTTCTATGTAAAATGGCAGACTGTGTGTCTTCCTTAAGGATGACAATATAATTCCCACGGGGGGCCAGTATGAAAAATGTATGCACTCACTAACTGTAAATCGCTCTGGATAAGAGTGTCTACTAAATGACTAAAATGTAAATGTAAATATAATCTGTTTTCATGAAGGCCTAAGTAAAATGGCAGACTGTGTTTTTAAGGTTTGAGTTCATATAATCTATGTTTTCATGAAGGCCTATGTAAAATGGCCGACTATGTTTCTTCTATAGAACCACTTTGTGTAATGTTTTCTGCTTATTGCTTTTAGTCCAGCCCTTCCCCAACACACATGATTCAAAATAATCAATTGATGACTATACTTTTCAGTCTCAGCCATGTTTAGCTGAATCAGGTTAAAGAGGCTAGCCTGGATCTTAAAAACTGCCTGTATTTTTCAACGTTCCGTTTTGAACTAAGACATGGATAATAAACCACCTGTGATGTTGTTCTGACGGAGAAAGCCACGGAATCCTGACATTCACTGCTTGACCTAGGCTTAATCTGAGTCCGGGAAACTGGCCCTAAAACTATCCCACCTCTTCCAGCTTCTAGAACTATCATTTGGAGCTCTTTCTCACTCCCATCGTCTATGATGTCACCCACCTTTACCACATCATGAGCTCTATATAGACCAGTTGCTATGTCCCCATGTATACAGGTTTGTAACTAAGCATTGTAACTTTGCCTAACAACACATTTGTACATAGCAACGTTTAGTTTTATTTATTTCAGATTTCTTTATGGCATGTGTTTAAATTAATAACCTTTTTTTTTTACTATTGTACATCAGTCCAAGATCATATATCATGATGATGTTCAATTGGTTGTCCAATCTGGTCGATTAAATAAAATGAAATAAAGATATTGAAAAATAAGTACTGAAATAGTTTATTTGTGTTGCACATCACTCATGAACCGTAACATAAAAGAGCTTAGATGTTATTTTTTGGTCTTAGTTTTATTGAAATACAAAATCTATTGCTGTAACAGACACAGACCCTTTGCAACCAATCTCTCTCCAGTTGGACACCAACACAGTCTGTCTAGGTCCCTCTGTCCATCACAGGCCACAGTCTGTCTAGGTCCCTCTGTCCATCACAGGCCACAGTCTGTCTAGGTCCCTCTGTACATCACAGGCCACAGTCTGTCTAGGTCCCTCTGTCCATCACAGGCCACAGTCTGTCTAGGTCCCTCTGTCCATCACAGGCCACAGTCTGTCTAGGTCCCTCTGTCCATCACAGGCCCAGCTTCTTCTCCATCACCTCCCTCAGTTTGATCTTCTGGATCTAGGAAAGGAAAAGCACAGAGGTGATCACCACAGTAGTCTGTGCTGGTGTTAATATCAATAACCTGGATAACCTGATTTTTTATGCTGTCATAAAGCCATCCTACCTTTCCAGAGGCAGTCAGTGGATAGCTGTCCACAAACACAACATAGTGTGGGATCTTGAAGTGAGAAATCTGGAAAAAGTATAAAAAGTTACTCTTCTCGTTCACATAAGACATATTGCCGATGCTTGGCAATGATGGACTGACCTAAAGACTAGTTAAAATGACTTAAACTCAGTGGGATAACCATCTAGTTAAAACAACTTTAACTCAGTGGGATAACCATCTTCTGGCTTGCAGGAGATCCGTGTTCAATCCCCAGGTGATCTGTTTCTTTCTATGTCACCTGTCCCTTGCAGAAGTCTCTGATCTCCTCTCTGCTACAGTCCTGCCCCTCCTTCAGTCTGATACAGGCACACACCTGTTCCCCCATCCTCTCATCTCTCACACCTATCACCTGGGGAGAAAGAGAGGTGGACGGGACAGGGAGAGAAAATAAACACTTGGATATAATAATAATAATAATAATAATAATATGCCATTTAGCAGACGCTTTTATCCAAAGCGACATACAGTCATGCGTGCATAAATTTTTTTTTTTGTGTATGGGTGGTCCCGGGGATCGAACCCACTACCTTGGCGTTACAAGCGCCGTGCTCTACCAGCTGAGCTACAGAGGACCACATATGCCATTTAGCAGATGCTTTTATCCAAAGCGACTTACAGTCATGCGTGCATACAGTTTTTTTTTTTTGTGTATGGATTTGGATATACTACAATCAGAAAACTGTTCCAATCATACCTACTGTTGGCTATCATATGGTGATAGGAGTATTGAGAAATGAAGACATGAAATGAAAGGTTCTGGCAATATGGGTTTGGTACTAACATTTCCTAGATAGATTTGTGTAACTTGGTTGTATGGTGTTACTGTGGTGTTGTCCTATTCTCTGCTGCCCTCTAGTGGTGCTGAGTCCTGGGCCTCCTGTACTTTGAGATGGGTGTGGATCTCACCTGGGCCTCCTGTACTTTGGGATGGGTGTGAAGGAACTGCTCTATCTCAGCAGGGTAGATGTTCTCTCCTCCACGTATGATCATGTCCTTTATACGTCCCACTATACGGCAGTACCCAAACCTGTCCAGACTGGCTATATCACTGTGGAGAGACATTCACAGTTGACGTTCGGTCTCACTTTTTATCTTGTGGCCATCTCTGTCCGGGGTCTGGGTCTCTGTCTGGGGTTCCCTGTCAGGTGTCTCTGTCTTCCCTGTCAGGTGTCTCTGTCTGGGTCTCTGTCTGGGGTTCCCTGTCAGGTGTCTCTGTCTGGGTCTCTGTCTGGGGTTCCCTGTCAGGTGTCTCTGTCTGGGTCTCTGTCCGGGGTCTGGGTCTCTGTCTGGGGTTCCCTGTCAGGTGTCTCTGTCTGGGGTCCCTGTCAGGTGTCTCTGTCTGGGTCTCTGTCTGGGGTTCCCTGTCAGGTGTCTCTGTCTGGGGTTCCCTGTCAGGGTCTCTGTCTGTCTGGGGTTCCCTGTCAGGTGTCTCTGTCTGGGTCCTGTCTGGGGTTCCCTGTCAGTGTGTCCTGTTCTGGGTTCCTGTCTTGGGTTCCCTGTCAGGTGTCTCTGTCTGGGTCTCTGTCTGGGGTTCCCTGTCAGGTGTCCTCTGTCTGGGTCTCTGTCCTGGGGTTTCCCGTCAGGTTGTCTGTCGGGGTCCCCTGTCATGTGGTCTCGTCCTGGTCCTGGTTGTTTCCCCTGTCAGGTGTCTCTGTCTGGGTCCTCTGGCTGGGGTTCCCCGTCCAGGTGTCTGCTGTCCTGGGGTCGCTGTCTTGGGTGTCCCTGTCAGGTGGTCTCTGGCTGGGGTTCCCTGTCAGGGGTCTGGGTTCTCTGTCTTGGGTCTCCCTGTGCAGGTGTACCCTGTCCTTGGGTCCCTGTCAGGGTTCTCTGTTCTGGGGTTCCCTGTCAGGTGTCTCTGTCTGGGTCTCTGGTCCGGGGTTCCTGTCCGGTCTTCTGTCTGGGTTCCCTGTCAGTGGGGTTCCCGGTCATGGGGTCCCTGTCTGGGTCTCTGTCTGGGGTTCCGTCAGGTGTCTCTGTCTGGGTCTCTGTCTGGGGTTCCCTGTCTGGGTCTCTGTCTGGGGTTCCGTCAGGTGTCTCTGTCTGGGTCTCTGTCTGGGGTTCCCTGTCAGGTGTCTCTGTCTGGGTCTCTGCCTGGGGTTCCCTGTCAGGTGTCTCTGTCTGGGTCTCTCTCTAGGTCCCTGAATCTCTCATCTCTTACCCGGTCCTGTACCAGCGGTCCTTGGTGATCGCCTCCCTGGTCTTGTCTGGGTCGTCCCAGTACTCCAGCATGACAGAGTAAGCTCTGATCAGCAGCTCTCCTGTCTCCCCCAGAGGAACCAGCTCTCCAGAGGACACATCCACCACCTTCGCCTGGCCAGGAGAAGACACAGGTAGGGTTTCATTTATGTTTGAAATAATAATAAATATAAACGTTATTCATATGTTGATAAATTAGGTCCCTGACATTAGACACATTACTCTCTCTCTCTCTGTCTCTCTCTCTCTCCCTTGTTCTCACACACACACATTAGGTACATGTCTGGTGTCAGTTAAAGGGTTGATACCTCAGTGTGGTTCAGGATACATCCTACTGTCTCTGTCTTCAGTTCCTCGTTGTCTCGCGGGAAACCAAGGAACGCCGCAGGGCTGTTCTCTGTGGTCCCATAGCCTATCTGATGTTAACAAGGGAACAGTGTTACCCCATACAGATTATAAAGTATATTGTACACACACACACAGAGAAAGAGATGGGAAGAACTTACTATCATATCCTTGACATTCATATCAGTTTTTAGCTTCCTCATGACTTCAGGAGGACAAAGAGACCCACCCGTAAACCCTGGAACAGAAATCACCATCATCCTTCCTGGGAACAAATACTATTTCTTTACTACTATACTAATACTTTATACTACTATTAAAGGGGCAATCTGCAGTTGAAAAATAACATAATGGACACCCCGCCACTGTTTTGGTAAAAAGCTGAGGGATGGGGGCGGAGACATGTAACCACTCTCAAATTCATAGAAAGAGCTCTGGATGCAAGGATGACAATCCATTATATAAAAATGATTGTTTTAACAGGGCTTTTGCAACCCTTTGATTTGGCTGTGCAAGTAAAAAAACTAAAACGGTTGCATCAGTGCCAGCTGCAAATTCTAGCTGGTCAGCTCACTCAAAATGTCTTATTCTTTGGGGCAGCTAAAACCATGATTTGGTCAAGCAGTACACCTAAAGTAAAGTGCATTGATTCCTGCCATGAAAATGCCCGCCAATGACAGTGCCTGTTTTGCCAGGAACAACTGCTGTGATGAGCCAGCCACTCTCTCTCCTTCCAACTGTGCGCTCTATTTAGAGGGAGAGAAAAATTGCGGGAAAAACACAGTTTTTAAAACATGCTGTTGTTAGTTGAAGACGGGAAGGGTCTCAGCTTTCTGGGGGTATGAAAACTATTTCTAAATTCTCAATATTGAGCGATAGGCACTGTTTAAAAAAACAACGTTTCTGATATGTCTTTGAGATGCAGAGCGCGCGAGGTGCACGTTGGCGCTGAGTCCTAGTAGACTACCACTGGAATGTTTTAGGGCATTCAATTTACTGCGATTAATCAATTACGCGGCTAACCATCAGCAATATTTACAGTTAGCGATCTAGCCCCAAATGAATTAGCCTATTGGCTAGTGCACACAAACATGTAGGACAATGGATCTCTATTGAGCAAAACAAATAGGAACATTCCAGAGCTCTATTTTGACAGTAGAAAACTATATATCAACAATAAGCTAATTGACCCTTCGTTAAGCCTCGCCCAATAATTTTGGGCAACCAATTGCAGCGTTCCAATGGATAGCAACTGTCGTCGAGTTCGACACCTCTGACAAGCTCACGTTTGAATTACATGAAAGCCAGTGACGGCAGTGCGAAAAAAACAATGGTTAAATAATTTAACAGTGCACCAGGAGTACTTGCTACTGTGATTCCTGAAATGCAGAGCCTGTTGAAGTATCTTTCGAAATTATACTTTTGTTACATTGTTTGCTAGCTCAGCTGGTTAGCTATCTCTCAGTCTCATTGACCACCAAACGTTGCTAACGCTAGCTAGCCACTTAATATAGCTTGTTTTCTCTAAATGTATGTTAGCTAGCTAAGTTAGCCATGTTATGACTACAACTCCTATCTGCTGTCGACATCAGGATATGATTTGAGAACCCTAGTTGCTCCTAAAGTGGTTAGTAGCTGACTGCATACTGACAGTGAATTCAGAGCCATTCAGTGGCTAGCCACACTACAAACATAATTTGACCAGGTTCCTGTGAATCATTTGTAATGACAGTCAATCACAACATACCAGAGAGTTTCCTGATTAGCAAGGGGTAGTCTGTGTTTAATTTCATTGTGTATTAGTTTGAAACCATTGTGAGAGGATTTCGCCAGTGGTTGAATGGGGAATTGGCCTTCTCTGGAAAATGTTGTTCGAGGTTGCAACAGTAACCAAGGGGGACGAGGCTTGTTATCCCACTACCTTGGCGTTATCGAACCCACTACCTTGGCGTTACAAGCGCCGTGCTCTACCAGCTGAGCTACAGAGGACCACTGAATGACTTCATAAGATGATTATAAAATCGTTCTATTGCGTGACAAAATGTTGGTGCAACCAAATCATGGACTGGTGCCACCAACTGAAAATGTTAGTCTGGAGCCCCTCAAAAGGCTATACATTATAGCCTCAAAACATGGTTAAAACAGGGCTCCTGACTAACATTTTCCCCTGGTGCCACTAACTTTTTCAGTGTTTACATGTACATTGTTTACAAACATTGTAGTAAAACAAGCTTGTATTTGGGTTCTGATGGGGTACAACAGTTGAACTAAGCTCAAGAGGCATTTATAAGTTATATTCTTCAAGAATCAATGGCTTCATTTCATTAATTTATAAGTCCAAAAATGGATGTAGCAACTGCTTTAAGCTTTAACTTTACCAGAGCAATGAAGTTCATTTCCAGCCAGCCAACTAACAACATTCTACACAAACATAAACTTTCAAATCTCTCACCAGATTCAACTGATGACAGGTCGTACTTGTGAAGGTCAGGCTGTCCAAGCATGTCAATGTACATGGTAGGAGTGCCGTAGAGGAAATTGCACCTGAAACAGAGAACATAGAATGAGGTATTTAGTGTACTATAGAGGTTCATTCTCAATGTGCTCAGTGGCAGCTATTTCAATTCTTCTTATTACAACAGACTGACATGAAGTATCTCTATTGTAAGTCTCCAGGATGTGTACGTCACCTAAGGAAGGGGTTCATAAACTGTTTCACTCTTGCCCCCCTTCCAGCATTGATGACTATGTCATCAGTGTGTGATGACATAGTGCACACAACATTTACTTTTTCATGTTCCAAATCTAAATCTATAGTTCAATGCCTTTCCATCGCATTTTCAACTCTACCGATAGTGGGAGGCACACCACTGGTGGGAAAATACGCATAATTTCTTTATGCAGATTTGTGAATATTTGCATGAAAATCTACGGCCAATTGGATGGAAACTAATGACTGCCATGATAAGAGGATAACTGATGATGCATTACCCAATTTAGAAATGTCACCTTGTGAATTCTATTATTACAACTTTCAGGAGTAAGTTGAAAGCTGCTGACCACTAGCGCCCCCCACAGTTTGGGAACCACTGACCTAAGGGTCGGGCCTTAGGGTATAAGACCTACCTTTCATTCTAAATAGCCTCGAGGCTGGTCTCAGGGTATAAGACCTACCTTTCATTCTAAATAGCCTCTAGGCTGGTCTCAGGGTATAAGACCTACCTTTCATTCTAAATAGCCTCTAGGCTGGTCTCAGGGTATAAGACCTACCTTTCATTCTAAATAGCCTCTAGGCTGGTCTCAGGGTATAAGACCTACCTTTCATTCTAAATAGCCTCTAGGCTGGTCTCAGGGTATAAGACCTACCTTTCATTCTAAATAGCCTCTAGGCTGATCTCAGGGTATAAGACCTACCTTTCATTCTAAATAGCCTCTAGGCTGGTCTCAGGGTATAAAGACCTACCTTTCATTCTAAATAGCCTCTAGCTGTCTCAGGGTATAAGACCTACCTTTCATTCTAAATAGATCTAGCTGGTCTCAGGGTATAAGACCTACTTTTCATTCTGAATAGCCTCTAGGCTGGTCTCAGGGTATAAGACCTACCTTTCATTCTGAATGGCCTCCAGGTTGGCACGGCTGTCGTACCCAGCAGAGGGGAAGATCAGGGTGATGCCATGCAGTGCCATACACATCCCTCCTATCACTGAGCCTATGCAGTGGTACAGAGGTACAGGAACACATGCTCTTATAGGCTGGGGGGGGAGCAGACAGAGCAGAAGTTAAACAAGGAACAGAGAGAAAGAGTGAGAGTGTGAGAGAGAGAGGAGAGAAAGAAGAGAGAGAGAGAGAGAGGAGAGAGATAGAGAGAAGAGAGAGAAGAGAGAGAGAAGAGAGTAGAGAGACCAGAGAAGATAGAGAGATAGAGAGAGAGAGAGACCACCAAGAGAGAGAGACAGAGAGAGAGAGAGAAGAGAGAGAGAGAGAGACAAGAGACAGAATACAGAGAAGCCAGAGAGGAGAGATAGAACAGAGAGAGCCAGAGAGATAGAAGATAGACATAGAGAGACAGAGAGAGAAGACAAGCGAGAGCAGAGAGAGAGAGATAGAGACAGAGAGCCAGAGAAGAGATAGGACGAGAGGCCAGAGAATAATATTATTATGTCTCCACTGACCCTCCAGTTATATCCCAGACGTAGACCCACAAAATAGGCGTTGTTGACGATGTTGTGGTGGGAAAGGGTGGCACCTTTAGGACTTCCTGTTGTTCCCTAGGGACAAACATACAGACATCAGTGAGACCAGGAAGAAACAATGAATACCTGTTGATGGTTTCTGTGTGTAGGTATATAGGGTAATTCCAGTCTGTGGTCTGTGTCTATGTAGATGGTTGAAACAATGTTTGCAGTATTACTGCTCCAGGGGCGTTGCACTGCAACCAACCTCTTGGTGTGTGTGTGTGTGTGTCTCTCTGAGTTTTGGGTTCAAAGACAAAAGACACATTTCCATTCTCTGCAAATAAATTGACAATATTCTTCTTCTTTTCAACAGGATACCTACGGACGTGAACTGTATGTTGATGGGATCGTCGAAGGACAGTTTGGTCTGCAGGTCCTGCAGCTCCTGGTGGTGCTGTCTGCTTCCAGCCTGCATCACGTCCTCTACATGTACAGTCCCTGTCTGTCTGCTGTCTGACACTATCACCATACACAGGTCTGGTAGCCTGGCAGGAGGATCACAGTAGGCTAACATTACAGGAACACAATGACAGTTACATTACAGTAATATTACAGTAACAACCTTCATTAGGGCCTCTACTGTCCCTGTCTGTCTGCTGTCTGTCATCATCACCATACACAGGCAATGAGGTTGGTTCCATTTACAGTTACAGGTACATAGACATCCACCAGTGGTAACATTTCTTATTCAGAGTCAATTCAGTATAATTCCAGTGTATACCTTTTACTGTGTTTTACATGAGCCAATAATTATATTACACCATTTGTGATATACAGTATCACATGACTTATTTTTATGTCCCTGCATCAGTAAAAGCAGGAAGTGCATCCCCTATGCCTCTACTGCCATTCATTCCAATTAGACTGGCTTGGATTTATCCCTGACCAAAATGGCTGCCATTATCATACCATTCTGGAACTTTGAGGGTTCATGACATACCCCTTCCAGTAATTTAATAGGATCTCTACTATGGCTATAAGTATGTTAGCCACAGACCACATATACGTTCAGGGTTCTGTATCTATGATTATTAGTATCCTGCTAGTTACTTGTTTACTTCATGGTGCAGTAATACAATATGTCTGTTGATTCACTCATGGTGCAGTAGTACAACATTAACATACCGGTCTGTTGATTCACTCATGGTGCAGTAGTACAACATTAACATACCGGTCTGTTGATTCACTCATGGTGCAGTAGTACAACATTAACATACCGGTCTGTTGATTCACTCATGGTGCAATAGTACAATATTAACAGACCTGGAGCTCCTAAAGACCCCTGACTCTGCTGTGTCCATCTCTGGGCAGATCTGTCTCAGCATGTCACAGAACCTCTGGGTCTTAAACTGGGTGGGACACACCACGGCTTTACACTGCACCTACAGAGACAGACAGAACAGAACCTCTGGGTCTTAAACTGGGTGGGACACACCACGGCTTTACACTGCACCTACAGAGACAGACAGAACAGAACCTCTGGGTCTTAAACTGGGTGGGACACACCACGGCTTTACACTGCACCTACAGAGACAGACAGAACAGAACCTCTGGGTCTTAAACTGGGAAGGACACAGACAGCACCAGGGTCGGGATCTGTTCAGTTATTCATTCGGTCAATCCAGGAAGTGTATTGAAATTCAAATCTGAAAATGTAAAACAACACGGTACTGGATAAGAACAAACTGGAAACCACATATCCTGAGGCTGCATTTATTGTAGCCGGGGATTTTAACAAAGCAAATTTGAGTACTAGGCTGCCGAAGTTCTATCAACATATCGACTGCTGTACTCGTGCTGCCAAAATCCTTGACCATTGCTATTCGAACTTCCGGGATGGTTATAAGGCCCTCCCCCGCCCTCCTTTCAGGCAAATCTGACCACAACTCAATTTTGCTCCTCCCTTCCTATAGGCAGAACTCAAACAGGAAATACCCGTGCTAAAGACTATTCAACGCTGGTCTGACCAATCGGAATCCATGCTTCAAGATTGTTCTGATCACGCGGACTGGGATATGTTCTGGGTAGCTTCCGAAAATAATTTAGACGAATACACTGAAACGGTGACTGAGTTTATCAGGAAGTGTATAGGTGATGTTGTGCCCACTGTGACTATTAAAACCTACACTAACCAGAAACTGTGGATAGATTGAAGCATTCGCGCCAATCTGAAAGCGCGAACCACCGCATTCAACCATGGCAAGGTGACTGGGAATATGGCAGAATACAAACAGTGTAGCTACTCACTCCGCAAGGCAATTAAACTGGCAAAACATCAGTATAGAGACAAAGTGGAGTCGCAATTCAACGGCTCAGACACGAGACGTATGTGGCAGGGTCTACAGACAATCACGGACTACAAAAAGAAAACCAGCCACGTCGCCGACACCGACGTCTCGCTTCCAGACAAGCTAAACACCTTCTTCGCCCGCTTTGAGGATAACACAGTGCCACTGACGAGGCCCACTACCAAGGACTGTGGCCTCTCCTTCTCCGTGGCCGACGTGATTTAGACATTTAAGCATGTTAACCCCCGCAAGGCTGCCGGCCCAGACGGCATCCATAGCTGCGTCCTCATAGCATGCGCAGACCAGCTGGCTGGTGTGTTTATGGACATATTCACTCTCTCCCTTTCTCAGTCTGCTGTTCCCACATGCTTCAAGATGGCCACCATTGTTCCTGTACCCAAGAAAGCAAAGGTAACTGAACTAAATGACTATCGCCCTGTAGCACTCATCTCTGTCATTATGAAGTGCTTTGAGAGACTAATCAAGGATCATATCACCTCTTCCTTACCTGTCACCCTAGACCCACTTCAATTTGCTTACCGCCCCAATAGATCCACAGACGATGCAATCGCCATCACACTGCCCTATCCCATCTGGACAAGAGGAATACCTATGTAAGAATGCTGTTAATTGACTATAGCTCAGCATTCAACACCATAGTACCCTCCAAGCTCATCATTAAGCTCGGGGCCCTGGGTCTGAACCCCGCCCTGTGCAACTGGGTCCTGGACTTCCTGACGGGCCGCCCCCAGGTGGTGAAGGTAGGAAACAACATCTCCACTTCGCTGATCCTCAACACTGGGGCCCCACAAGGGTGCGTGTTCAGCCCCCTCCTGTACTCCCTGTTCACACATGACTGCGTGGCCAAGCATGCCTCCAACTCAATCATCAAGTTTGCAGACGACACAACAGTAGTAGGCTTGATTCCCAAACAATGACGAGACCGCCTACAGGGAGGAGGTGAGGGCTCTGGGAGTGTGGTGCCAGGAAAATAACCTCTCACTCAACGTCAACAAAACAAAGGAGATGATCGTGGACTTCAGGAAACAGTAGAGGGTGCACCCCCCTATCCACATCGACGGGATCGCAGTGGAGAAGGTGGAAACCTTAAAGTTCCTTGGCGTACACATCACCGACAAACTGAAATGGTCCACCCACGCAGACAGTGTTGTGAAGAAGGCACAACAGAGCCTCTTCAACCTCAGGAGGCTGAAGAAATTTGGCTTGGCACCTAAAACCCTCACAAACTTTTACAGATGCACAGTTGAGAGCATCCTGTCGGGCTGTATCACCACCTGGTATGGCAACTGCACCGCCCGCAACCGCAGGGTTCTCCAGAGGGTGGTGTGGTCTGCCGAACGCATTATCGTGGGCAAACTACCCGCCCTCCAAGACACATACAGTACCCGATGTCACAGGAAGGCCAAAAAGATCATAAAGGACATCAACCACCTGAGCCACTGCCTGTTCACCCCACTATCATCTAGAAGGCGAGGTCAGTACAGGTGCATCAAAGCTGGGACCGAGAGAATGAAAAACAGCTTCTATCTCAAGGCCATCAGAATGTTAAATAGCCATCACTAGCACATTAGAGGCTGCTGCTGCTGCCTATTGAAATCACTGGCCACTTTAAGAAATGGAACACTAGTCACTTTAATAATGTTTACAGTCACTTTAATAATGTTTAGATATCTTGCACTACTCATCTCATATGTATATACTGCATTCTATTCTATAATATTCTACTGTATCTTAGTCCATGCCGCTCGGTCATTGCTTGTCCATTTATGTATATTTTTTAAAATTCCATTCCTTACTAGTTTTGTGTGTATTGGGTATATGTTGTGAAATTGTTAGATATTACTTGTTAGATATTACTGCACTGTCGGAGCTAGAAGCACAAGCATTTCGCTACACCCGCAATAACATCTGCTAAACACGTGTATGTGACAAATACAATTTGATTTGAACATACCTTCCTCAGGGTGTACTCCAGCTCCTTCAGCTGATAGGCTGGGTTTATTGACACCTGTAGAGATAATAACAATGCTTTAATATTAGGAACAATAGATCCTAACAGATAATACATATTCATTTTAGAATCTAATTTAATAGATCATCTTCACCAGTATGATGCCAGCCTTGGCTGTGGCGAACTGAAACAGGATCCAGTGGTATGTGTTGGGCCCCCAGACTCCTAGTCTGTCCCCTCTCTTCAGACCCAGGGCCAGGAGACCTGCAGCGGCCTGGTCAACCTGGGGGAGGAGGGAGACCATGACCCAGGTAGTAATATATAGGATGATATCCCTATATGCAAAGGCATTCTGTAGTTTGTGTTTATGAGTATGTGTATAAATGTAATGTAATACATTGTTACAAAGCTGTTTATGTTTGCGTTGTTTCATCATGGATGACCTAGTTAGCAGGCCTCAGGGTGTTGCAGCAGCATGGATGACCTAGTTGGCAGGCCTCAGGACAGATTCACCCGGTTTCCTCCCTGTTACTGTACATCTGCTTAGATGTTTAACCAGTGGTAATCAATAGTTTCCCAACAATATACTGACTTAAGACGTTTCACCAGTGATAATCAATAGTTTCCTAAAAATATACTGACACATAATACTTGCTACGTAATTCCACAATGTCAGGTTTTACTATTTGGTAAAACACCAAACAAATGCACTGACAGATAGGCCTACTGTGTGTGCTTTGAGTGGGAACAAGAGGTAATGGCCTAACAGTAATGGCCTCTAGATATGATGCAACAGATTAGAAGAGAGGGTGGATGAAAGACCTACGTCCTCCTGAAACTGGGAGAAGGTCTTACGGACTCCATCCTGCAGGAACACCAGGGCCTCTCTGTGGGGCCAGCGGTCGGCTGCCGCCTGCAGACTCTGACCCAACCGTCTGGCCCAGCAGGGACACTGAGGACGCCCCATGGACGTAGCTGCAGCTCTGCCCCGGGACCAGGGGGGGACTGTCCACATGGAGGAATCTGTTGAGGGACAGAGATAAACAATATACAGAGCAACTACAGTACATTTACATTTACGTCATTTAGCAGACGCTCTTATCCAGAGCGACTTACAGTTAGTGCATACATTATTATTTTTATTTTTTTTATACTGGCACCCCATGGGAATCAAACCCACAACCCTGGCGTTGCAAACGCCATGCTCTACCAACTGAGCTACCTCCCTGCCGGCCATTCCCTCCCCTACCCTAGACGACACTGGGCCAATTGTGTGCCGCCCCATTGGTCTCCCGGTTGCGGCCGGCTACGACAATCAACACCAGGATCTCTAGTGGCACAGCTAGCACTGCGATGCAGTGCCTTAGACCACTGCGCCACTCGGGAGACAACCAAATCAATTAGAATCAGCTCAAGTATTTTACATATGTACAGTGAGGGAAAAAAGTATTTGATCCCCTGCTGATTTTGTACGTTTGCCCACTGACAAAGAAATGATCAGTCTATAATTTTAATGGTAGGTTTATTTGAACAGTGAGAGACAGAATAACAACAAAACAATGCAGAAAAACGCATGTCAAAAATGTTATAAATTGATTTGCATTTTAATGAGGGAAATAAGTATTTGACCCCTCTGCAAAACATGACTTAGTACTTGGTGGCAAAACCCTTGTTGGCAATCACAGAGGTCAGACATTTCTTGTAGTTGGCCACCAGGTTTGCACACATCTCAGGAGGGATTTTGTCCCACTCCTCTTTGCAGATCTTCTCCAAGTCAATAAGGTTTCGAGGCTGACGTTTGGCAACTCGAACCTTCAGCTCCCTCCTCAGATTTTCTATGGGATTAAGGTCTGGAGACTGGCTAGGCCACTCCAGGACCTTAATGTGCTTCTTCTTGAGCCACTCCTTTGTTGCCTTGGCTGTTTGTTTTGGGTCATTGTCATGCTGGAATACCCATCCACGACCCATTTTCAATGCCCTGGCTGAGGGAAGGAGGTTCTCACCCAAGATTTGACAGTACATGGCCCCGTCCATCATCCCTTTGATGCGGTGAAGTTGTCCTGTCCCCTTAGCAGAAAAACACCCCCAAAGCATAATGTTTCCACCTCCATGTTTGACGGTGGGGATGGTGTTCTTGGGGTCATAGGCAGCATTCCTCCTCCTCCAAACACGGCGAGTTGAGTTGATGCCAAAGAGCTCGATTTTGGTCTCATCTGACCACAACACTTTCACCCAGTTCTCCTCTGAATCATTCAGATGTTCATTGGCAAACTTCAGACGGGCCTGTATATGTGCTTTCTTGAGCAGGGGGACCTTGCAGGCACTGCAGGATTTCAGTCCTTCACGGCGTAGTGTGTTACCAATTGTTTTCTTGGTGACTATGGTCCCAGCTGCCTTGAGATCAATGACAAGATCCTCCCTTGTAGTTCTGGGCTGATTCCTCACCGTTCTCATGATCATTGCAACTCCACGAGGTGAGAACTTGCATGGAGCCCCAGGCCGAGGGAGATTGACAGTTCTTTTGTGTTTCTTCCATTTGCGAATAATCGCACCAACTGTTGTCACCTTCTCACCAAGCTGCTTGGCGATGGTCTTGTAGCCCATTCCAGCCTTGTACAATCTTGTCCCTGACATCCTTGGAGAGCTCTTTGGTCTTGGCCATGGTGGAGAGTTTGGAATCTGATTGATTGATTGCTTCTGTGGACAGGTGTCTTTTATACAGGTAACAAGCTGAGATTAGGAGCACTCCCTTTAAGAGTGTGCTCCTAATCTTAGCTCGTTACCTGTATAAAAGACACCTGGGAGCCATAAATCTTTCTGATTGAGAGGGGGTCAAATACTTATTTCCCTCATTAAAATGCAAATCAATTTATAACATTTTTGACATGCGTTTTTTCTGGATTTTTTTGTTGTTATTCTGTCTCTCACTGTTCAAATAAACCTTCCATTAAAATTATAGACTGATCATTTCTTTGTCAGTGGGCAAACGTACAAAATCAGCAAGGGATCAAATACTTTTTTCAGAGAGAGATACACAGAGGGATGGGTTGGTACAGAGAGAGGGAGTAGAAACAGAGGGATGGGTTGGTACAGAGAGAGGGAGTAGAAACAGAGGGATGGGTTTGGTTTACAGACAGTAGAGTTGACTGTGACGGTGTTCTTTATCAATGACAGCGGTCTCTTTTGAAACACAGGAAGGTTCTGATTGAAATCCCCCTTCATCTTAGACCCAACCTATTGTAGTGTTCTCTGACTGTGGTTTCATAGTGGACTCCTCTTCACTGTTCTCTTGGGAGCCGTTGGGAAACGGCACAAATATGTTTCCCCTCACTCACTCCCTATTCTCCTATCAGGTCACAGGTCACGGGACGTCTTTCAGAGGGGAAACCAGAGATAATGGTTATGTGAAAAACAACCACGCTGAGCCCCGTTCCTTACAGCCAAGACAAAGCAGAAACTGAGTTGGACAATCCAAGTAAAAACATATTTTAAAAACATGTTTCTGAAAAGGAAATCTCACAAGCATTGTTTCTATAGTATGCAGTGACTTGAGCAGGGCTCAGCAGGCATTGAAAGACATTACCCTCAGTCTGAATACTAGTCAAGTCACATACAGGCCATCAGGACCATACTCTACAGTTGACAGATCATAGCGATCATTGCAACTATAATTGACTAAATTGAAATGGAATTGACCTCAACTAGTGGTGTGCTCCATAGGTCTGAATGACTAAATGTAATCTACAATCTATGTCAAAGGTCAGAGGTAGTCTTTAGAAAGGAAACAACTTGCAAAGGTCAGGACAGAGAAATAATCGAACTAGTCTGTTTATGTATGACAATGACAAGAGAGTAAACCTACCGACAGCACCAGAGCCTGGTTGGGTTCCCAGGTGTCCATGTCTTCTGTAGAGAGGAGACCACCTGTAGAGGTTGTAACAAAGCCCTTCTAGAGAACACACTGAGCTGTCCGAGGTGAGGAGCCCTGGACCTCAGTAGCGAGGAGCTGATCCGCACCGCTGACATGGTCTCAGTCAGCTCTGAAAATATTTATTATGTTCTGAATCAATTTAGACCCTTGTTAAAAATGTTGGCTTAAAATCTTCCTAGAAGTCAGAAAAACATGAGAAGGGACATGTAAAAAATGCAGATTTTTGGCACTTTAGAAAGTCTTTATTCATATTATAAATCAGATTTCTTGAATTTTTCCATGTTGTCTCTATTAAAAGAGGCACTTTTTTAAAAATAACAGTTGTTTTTTTTATTCAATATTGGTGCACAATTTCTATGTAAAATATCAAAGGAACGCAAAAGGCACTATTAGTGAAATGACCCATCAATAATTTTTGATTTCTTACCATTATATATCGATGGCAATTGAAGTGCATTGGATTTTATGCTAATATTGTTGCAGTACAAAAGTATGAATAGTATCAAACAGGAACATGAAGGTCTGTCTGCATATTCTATAGTTGGATAACTTTTGATAACGTAAGTGCTTTCAGCAAGCACATTAATAAGAAGTCGGATTTCTAAAGTTGTTCTAAAGTTGTTCTGTTCTTCACATCTATCGAACATCATTTTGCGGCTCAATCGCATACTCAGTGTAACACATTTACTTCAGAATAACATGTAATTACAAGAGAGATTACTCGCACTTTTTCTTATTTTGGCTTGGTAGTGGGTAGGCTATAGCTAGGTCGTTACACAGAACTTCCATGCTGGTTTGAAAACTCTGTTAGACTGCAGAATAGACAACAAACAAATACTTTTCACTAGTCAAAATTAAGGTGTCACTGGGGAATACTCATCAGGTAATCATAATTGAGTGTTTGTTATTTTAGCCATCTGGCTGCAGGCCTGACCGTTGGCTCGACATCTTACTGTAACATTAAGAGTTAATATACAGTACTTGCACTGGTTTATATTATTATTCGATTAACGCTCTCAAATAGATTATGTTACATCAAATCTCTGTTAGGGTACATCATCATGTCCCATCACGAAGGATTAAAAAACCGAAACAAAGGATTGATCGTCTGACCGACCTGAATATAGGCCTCAATAAATCAATCACTCTTGGAAATCTAGATATTGGAATAATACCGGTCTGCGCCCTATAATCTCTGCATGATAAACCATTGTAACTTTTCTGAACATATCCTTACAGTAAATGACAAAAGAATGTGCACTAACTTCAGAAATATTTTCTCCGATCTTTTCAGGTATAACATACGCCCAGTAAATTTCCCTACCAGAAAACAGTCGATATCGTAAAGTGTTGTGTATTGGCGCAACCCAATTCAGGAGGAAACTGAAGAACAGTTGGCTTGACAGTGTTTTGCGAGTGTCGGCTCACTTGCTTTCCTGGTACAACCTGTTGCGAAACACGTCATGCGCAATCTACTTGGGCATGTCCTGATTGCGCATGTCCAACAACGAAGCCCAGCTGTCATGGCGGCGGGTAAGTTAAAATGTCTTTATTTTCTGGCTAGGTAGCAAGCTTTTTTCTTCTTTGTAATACGTTTTTGGAAGCTATTGTCCAAATCACTGTTATTAAGAGTTTGCTACAACTCTAACGTTGTAGTCTGATGCTATCTACCGAAATCGATTATGCAAAGTTATTTTACAAGCTTTTTTTAAAGTTAGCTAGCTCGATTCTTCTGTATGGAGCCATAGCTAGCTAGCATAATCATTAGAAAATGAATCATTCACCTGCTAAGACCTAGCAACTGACATAAATCCAATGATTTATTGATCACCCAGTTAGATCTTGTATTTTAGTAGAAGCACGACTGAAGGTAGAACATAATTTATTTAGCTTTTACATTGGCTGCATTCTGTGAATCTGTACTGCAATTTGATTAAAGTAAAGCCCTGTCTAAACCATTTACAATTATTGTCTAGCCCCACTCTCCAGGCTGCCATCCACTCCGTTAGACGGGGTACCTACGAGCGTCATTCAGCTCCACAATGCCCTGGGGGACGTAAAGTAGTGACGTTACGTTTGATACCGGAGCTAACAGTGGTTATGATATTAATGTATTGTTTCCATTGGGAGTTTAGAAGTTTACTGGTAACTATGGCATAATAAGACCTAGTACAAAGCGATAGTCCTTGTGATACTGGAGTCCTGATTTGAGTGGACTGGGTCAGGGTCAGAGGTGACACATTCCCAGTGTCCACTCACACTTCTCTGTCCATGATGCTGTAACACACATATACACACACTCACTTTGTTTGCCACTTTTTACTTTTGTATGAATTGGTTTTAATAAAATATTTTTATGTAGTTCATTATCATGTATTCATTATCTTTAACTGGTTAAATGTTTGAAGTTTGCATGTTTCAGTAATGATTAACATGGTTAAATAGTCGTAAATCTCAGCTTGATTTTGCTTTCGGTATATTTGCCATTTTTATACATATTCTGTTTTTCCACGGAAGAAAGCAATAATTAATCAACACACAATTACTGTAAATAAATGGACACTACCTGTTGTAAAACGGAAATTGCTCTCCGTAAATATAAATGGTGAGAAGTGCTCAGTCTGATATAACTTCTGAGTGATAGGAAGCATGCGCACCACCACCAATCAGGCTACACCACTCCACACACACACCCGTTGTTACTATGACAACTAGATTGGCCACATCAACTAATGACTGCTGTCTGAACACAGATAAATCCGATTTGGTCACTTGTAACATGCTGTTTGGACAGTCAATATTCCAAAACGGATTTGAAAAACAAAACTGATTTGAGCATTAAGGCCTGCAGTGTGAACATCCTTTAGTTTTGCATTTTGTTGTTTAAAGGTACACTATGCTGAAATCTACACCATTTCCTGGTTGCTAAAATTCTAAATAGTTTGCCTAATTTCAGTTTATGTGACAAAACAAGCAAGTATAGTGTAGAGAATCATTGTACCACCATTGGGGCGGCGCACAATTGGCCAAGCGTCGTCCAGGGTAGGGGAGGGAATGGCCGGCAGGGATGTAGCTCAGTTGGTAGAGCATGGCGTTTGCAACGCCAGGGTTGTGGGTTCGTTTCCCACGGGGGGCCAGTATGAAAAAAATAATGTATGCACTCACTAACTGTAAGTCGCTCTGGATAAGCGCGTCTGCTAAATGACTAAAATGTAAATGTAAACTGCTGTGAAATGTATTTTCCATACACTCACTAACTGTAAGTCGCTCTGGATAAGAGCATCTGCTAAATGACTAAAATGTAAATGTAAACTGCTGTGAAATGTATTTTCCATAACCAAAAAGGTTGAATTTTCAGCTGTTTGAAGCTTGTGTACAAAACCGAAAGTAAAAGACGCAAAACCGAAAGTTTAAAACGGGAAGCATAGAAATAGCGCACATAGAACAGATCTACCGGTTCTTAGACTTGTTTTCAATGGGAATGACAGATCTATAACTCACATTTCTATGTGAATTTGGTCAGGTCTCCCAAAAAGTTACATATTGCAGCTTTAAAGAAATTCAACCTGATGCGACAGGATACTGTATCGCTATGATACCTATAAGACTATGGCTGGGACGGTGGTCTAGATGTACCCATCTTGATCAGCCTCTGGCTCCGTATCTTTCTGCCCGTCCTTATCCGTCTGCAAAGCCTCACACAGCCAGTCTGTAATGTTGGAGTGCGGAAGGGTGAGAAAGTGTAAACTGGTCTATCTGCACAACTCAACCTGGTTTGTCTTTAAAGAGTTTCTCCTGTACTTTTGTATACTTTTTACCCAGTAATTCTGAAAGTAGCACCCACAAGCCAAAAGTGGTCCCCGAAAATGTAGTACTACTTCACGTATGCGCAGATATGTGCACCACATCATTGCTCTCACCCTCGCTCCGCTGTGTGTGCATCTTGCTAGCTGTCACTCAAATGGTGAGGGGCTAAAGCTCATTGGCTAGATCTCCAATTGCTAGGGGGCTGGCCCCACGTGGGGGAAAATGGTGCAGCACAGCTTCCAGAAAAACAGTCGCTTTCAAACTAGGGATTTCGTGGATAATTGAGGTAAGACAGTAATTCTGCATGTATGAACAACCCATTGACACATCCAGCCCAAAGCGGGAGGTAAAAAAATTAATACTTAGTGGTTGCCAAAGACATGTCTTTAATAACTATAATAATAATAGCTCTGTGTGACCCATCACCTCCACACTGGAACACATGATCTCAGTGGTATATATATATACACATGAGAGAACCACATATGTGCTGTAGTGTACCGTGGACATTCACACATACAGCAATGCACACAGACAAACAACAATCCCTGAATCCAAATTTTACACACAAACACCCATACTCTCACAAACAGTTTCAAGCTCAGACACATGCGTTCAATAGGTGATGTCAGCCGCTCTGAAACCTAGAAGTAGTTGTTTCCCTAGCTCTGAAAGGGCCAGCACTTTTGTGGAGCATTAGATAACGATGCTTAGTGGGTAATTGTTCTGAATGTGTTCAGAGTGTCTCTGGTTCCAGCGCAAGTTGGGGGAAGGAGACGGACAGAAGCAATACAGAAACACACCCATTCACAGAAAATCTGAGATAATATCTATCATTTATCAGTGGGTCCCAATGCAGGCAGAACAAACAAGATATTTCTGAGCTGGCACTTACGACAGCGACCATATTTACTTTCCAACCTATGATGATAGAAAGGTAGCTATGATTGGACGGGTGCCCAGACATCACTGATGCTACATGAGTCACAGAGAGGGCAGTACAGGCTTACTTTTGCAAGTATTAATTGAGGACCAAGGTGAGGAGGGTCACAATCTTGTTGGCCGTCAGGTCCTCTGCAGCACCCTCACGGACACAGTGTTGTGGTAGAGCTTGAAGAACCTGTCAAGGTGTTGTGGTAGAGCTTGAAGAACCTGTCAAGGTGTTGTAATGCGGGGAGTGGAAGCACTGCACCAGCGTCACCAGCCACATCTTGCCAGACTTGCGTGTCACCGACTGGGTGCACTCGATCGCATGCTCACTGTGGCGTCCAGCCTTGCCGATGGCGCACTGCAGCACTATCCACAGCTGCTTGGCTAGGTTGTCCTACAGGCCCTGCACCTTGCCAAAGTAGTTTGGAATGAGGATCATGTTGTGTGTGTTCTTGCTGCCCATGTGGTGGCCCTCCAGCAGCTCGGCTTGCTCCATCATTAACTGAGTGTATGCCACTATATCAGGCACTGCACAGGAAGGGAGGAGGAATATCAATACACAAATACATTGGAACTGTACAGTGTCACATCAAATGCAATGCAAGCTAACAATAATAGTTCCCAAACAAGCGGCATCTTATGGTGCAGGTGAGCATGCCTGAAGAGATACTCTTCAGGTTCTCCATGGCTCAAGCAAGCTGACTGTGTGGTATCCCAGCATATTTGACATCAGGTTCTCAATGGTGTTGATCAATCAATAAATCTAATTTGATTTATAAAGCCCTTTTTACATCAGCAGATGTCACAAAGTGCTATACAGAAACCCAGCCTAAAACCCCAAACAGCAAGCAATGCAGATGTAGAAGCACGGTGGCTAGGAAAAACTCCCTAGAAAGGCAGGAACCTAGGAAGAAACCTAGAGAGGAACCAGGCTCTGAGGGGTGGCCAGTCCCCTTCTGGCTGTGCCGGGTGGAGATTATAACAGTACATGGCCATTAAGGCCAGATTTTTCTCCAAGATGTTCAAACGTTCATAGATGACCAGCAGGGTCAAATAATAATCACAGTGGTTGTAGAGGTTGCAACAGGTCAGTACATCAGGAGTAAATGTCACATGGCCTTTCATAGCAGGGCATTTAGAGGTTGAAATCGATCAAATAAATCTCACGTAGCAAATAAACCATTCCATTTTATGTTGACCAAATTCGACAGTCTCATTTACCTCCATACAAAATCTCATCGCTTGGTGAGAGAAAGAAACGTAACAACGCCACCTGCTGGAGAAGACAGATGTTTGGCCCAGTTATCCCTCTTGCTTCCCCTCTTCGGTTATGTCTCAATCTTTTAACTGCGTCGCTCCTCTGCTTGTAAAAATGTTTTACATAATTTCACCAGAGTACAAATTTCAACATGACAGCAAGAGGAGCCTACAGCAACCTGAGAGAGAGCGAGACAATAACGTTTTATTTGATAACTGTGCCGACAGTATTCTCGACATTTCAATTTATATATATTTTTGACAATTGTCCCACTGTGTTTAGCTGATCTGTACAGTATGTGTGTTGGGGGTGTGTCCATCTGGAAAGAGAGCAGCCCAATGGTCTGGGTCAGACAGCAAGTGTGTCTGTAGCCAATAACAGTGAGGCTAAAGCCAATAATATGGGCCTTTCTGTCCTCTATGAATGAACTCCTCAATGTTACTGTATCTTAACCAAGAAGTCAGAAAAACATTCCCGTTCCACCAATAGCTTTAGGTTTTAACTTTTTCATAAGACTTAAGCTGCATCATGAGATGTGCAACACAAATAAAGTTGATATTTCAATAGTTATTTTTCAATATCTTTATTTTGATTTTATTTAATCGAATAGATTGGACAACCGATTGAACATCATAATCCGATTGAACATCATCATGATATATGATCTTGGACTGATGTACAATAGTAAAACTCAGGTTCTTCATTTTAAACACATGCCATAAAGAAATCTGAAATAAATACAACTAATAATGCCAAACGTTGCTATGTACAAATGTGTTGTTAGGCAAAGTTACAATGCTTAGTTACAAACCTGTATACATGGGGACATAGCAACAGGTCTATATAGAGCTCATGATGTGGTAAAGGTGAGTGACATCATAGACGATGGGAGTAAGCAAGTGCTCCAAATGATAGTTCTAGAATCTGGAAGAGGTGGGATAGTTTTAGGGCCAGTTTCCCGGACACAGATTAGGCCTAGTCCTGGATTCAAAATCATTCTCAATGGAGAATCTCCATTGAAAGTGTTTTTTTTAGTCCAGGACTAGGCTTAAGATGCACTATGCAGAAATCGCTCCGCCATTTCCTGGTTGCTAAAATTAAAATAGTTAGCCTAATTTCAGTTTATATGACAAAACAAGCAAGTATAGTGTAGAGAATCATTGTAGCATCTAAACCGCTGTGAAATATATTTTCCATAACCCAAACTATTGTATTTTCAGGTGTTTGAAGCTGGTGAACAAAACCAGTAGTAAAAGACCCAAAAACAAAACTATAAAAACGGGAAGCATAGAAAAATAACCTTCTTAGACTTTCAATGGAAATAACAGATCTATAACATTTCTATGTGAATTTGGTCAAATCACCCAAAAAGCTACATATTGCAGCTTTAATCTGTGTCTGGGAAACTGGCCTTAAGGCTTTTCATTTAAGGCTGTGATAGGAGGGAGCACTATTAACCCCAGATGAAGACAGGCAGACACAGACAGACAGACAGAATGGGGATGTAAAATAAATCAAAACAGTGAATATCAACAACAGAACCAGGAAGAGGCATGTCATTCTGAGATGAGGAGGTTCACACACTATTACAAACGTTTCATTGACAGGTCAGGAGCCAACGTGACAAAATGGTCACAATTAGTGCACCAATAGCAATTTATATAATCAGTCAAAAAATGAGCATTTATAGCCTGGTTAACACTAGACTGAGCGCTCCCCCCATGGTGAACACAGCATTCAGTCTGGTTTAACCAGGCTAGTATCTAGTCTAGAAAAAGGGATGAGCGTGACCCACTGTTAGATAGCTCCAGGGTGAGGTTTCCCCTAGGTACAGATCTAAGTTCAGCTTCCCCTCCCCAATCCTAACCTTAACCATTAGTGGGGTAAATGAAAAACTGACCCAGAGTCAGCATCTAAGGCAGTTAGATGCTTGGACTGCTGGGTTACTGTTGCTGGATATTCTGTTCTGCAGGTTATGGTAGACAGGATGTTAGCTGGATAAGACTCGACCACAGTACAGTTTATATATCAATGTGAATAAGTAACGCTTTTGTCTGACGCACTGCTGTGCTCAGGGTTGACTTCTTTGTTTCTATAAGCAACAGTTGTCTGATTCTAGTTATGCATCAGAATAGGGGAAGGGGATGCATGTAATATAACATGGTACCAACCACATGTAAATATAGCTCAGCTGGTAGAGCATGGCGCTTGTAACGCCAGGGTAGTGGGTTCGATCCCCGGGACCAGCCCAAACCCAGGACAATAGGGACGTGGGGGTGCATCTCAATACTATAAAGTCATTGTCTCTCCTTTCTCTCATCTGCACTGATGGGAAGGAAATTGAACAGGTGAAAGCTAATTTCTGGTAGAGATAGAGATCATCCATATTGCTTTCACCGGTCCTGTTCTCTCATTCTCTCCTATTCTAACTGGACTATTGAGATGAGGAGAGGATGCTACTAACTGGACTATTGAGATGCAGCCCGATAAGAGAACATGGTTCTGATCACAGCCTGAACACAGTAAACATTAATTCAGTCATTCTTCTGGATATGGGGGTTAAGGGTCATCAACTCCATCTGACCCCATAACATAAACACAAACAAACAGGAAATATAGCATCTTAAAGCACACATACAGTAATTATGAAATAATTTAACTTTGCAAAAAGTCCCTTTTCATTTTTAAATACAACATTCTAAATATAAATTATTTGTAATTGTGCAATTCATTCAGACAAGAAAATAAAGGTTAAGAGGAATGAAGCTGCGGTCCGTTGGGGACCTTGTCAGGTACAGTTGCTGTTATATAGCTGTTATAGAGTGAAACTGAGAAACTGATGGAGCCACTCCAGAGCATAGAGGTCACCAACACATGAGCAAAGACCAGCTCAGGCAGAGGCATGTGACTGTGTGTGTTAAATACAGACACACTCAGCATCCAACCCTACCCATAGGTGAGTGGGGCCTTTTCAATCATTCAGTCAAGTGTCTCTCCTACACACACTCAGAAATCAACTCTTAAAACACATACGCACTTTCGAACACACACACACACACACACACACACACACACACACAAACGGTTCTTCAAGTGTTCTCTCCTCTCATTGTTCTGTGGGGCGCACAGGAGCTTGGGCAGAGATTGGGGTGAGGGATGAGGGGTACCCTTGTTCTGTGGTGAGCTTGTCCAGAGGTTGGGGTGAGGTTGGGGGTGGTGCCACGCTAAACGGTGAGAGGCAGCATGCCAGGAGGGGAGACAGTCCGGGGCGACGCCAGGGCAGTCAGGGTGCTGTGGTCCAGTCCATTCACAGCCCTGTGGGCGACAACACCAACACCAGACATATGAACACCACAGACATGGAACACAGACACAGAGAAAGCAAGAGGACAGAGGTTAGTTCATTCACAATATCAAATAGAAAGCTATTTGGGTATTCTCTACATACTCTGTTTAGACCAACTCTGGTTAAAAATGATATAGAGCTAGAGTCTATTCAGCCTCTCACTTCTTATACTGTCTCTGAGTGAGTCACACTAACACTGCAGACAGGAAGTCAAGCAGAGAGATCGATGGAACAGTGGGAATACTCCTGAGAGAGAGAACAACTCCGAGATAGATGGAACAGTGGGAATACTCCTGAGAGAGAGAGAGAGCAACTCCGAGAGATCGATGGAACAGTGGGAATACTCCTGAGAGAGAGAGAGCAACTCCGAGAGATCGATGGAACAGTGGGAATACTCCTGAGAGAGAGAGCAACTCCGAGAGATCGATGGAACAGTGGGAATACTCCTACGAGAGAGAACAACTCCGAGATAGATGGAACAGTGGGAATACTCCTGAGAGAGCAACTCCGAGAGATCGATGGAACAGTGGGAATACTCCTACGAGAGAGAACAACTCAGAGATAGACGGAACAGTGGGAATACTCCTGAGAGAGAGAGCAACTCCGAGAGATAGATGGAACAGTCGGAATACTCCTGAGAGAGAGCAACTCCGAGAGAGATGGAACAGTGGGAATACTCCTGAGAGAGAGAGCAACTCCGAGAGATAGATGGAACAGTGGGAATACTCCTGAGAGAGGGAACTCACGTTTTGTCGTAGTAGGTGGTGTGTAGTGAGTGGGAGAACTTGGTGGCGTTGCTGTTGATGAGGTTTCCTTTCCCAGTGATCATGTTGGTGGATGACGTGGAGTAGGTTTTCCTCACTGCCTGGTCCTTGGCAAAGTTCCTACATGCAGCTAGCTTGGACTCCAGCGCCTAACGACAGACAAACATGGCCTACATTAGACTAATCACAAGCTGAGGATTCTGTTGTAACCTTTAACCTTTAATTCAGGATATATTTCAAATATACTCTGCTGTCAAGTCAAGAGAAGAGATGGAAGCCAAACTGTCGGGTTCACTCAAGAAGAGTGTTAATGTTTTGTTGCCAACATTAGCTTCATAGAGGATGGATGCATAACAATGGCATTGGAAAACATTGCTACAAGAAACAAAGGTCTGATATTTACCCCCACTTTTCTAAGTAGGTCCCCAACGATATTAAGAGCAGAGATTCTTGCTGATGGGGTCAGAGGTGAGCTACCATGCCCACAGCCATTTGTTAACACTGTAGAGAGATAGAGAGAGAGAGAGGGGGGGGGAGAGACAGTATTTAGCATATGACAGAGACATAGAAACTGTTTCACATGGAGGTAAAGACCTGGGTTCAAAGAGACAGTATTTAGCATGACAGAGACATAGAAACTGTTTCACATGGAGGTACAGCTCCAAAAGTTAAGGAACTAAAAAACAGACCTGGGTTCAAATAGTATTTATATACTTTCAAAACACTTTGAGCATTTAATTGAGACTGCCTGGAGTGACTTTTGAGACTCTTCCATTGGTTCCATTGCACCCGGCAAGCTCAATAAAGCTTGCCGGGTGCAGGTAGCTTAGTGGTTAAGAGCGTTGTGCCAGTAACCGAAAAGTTGCTGGTTCTAATTCCCGAGCCGACTAGGTGAAAAATCTGTCGATGTGCCCTTGAGCAAGGCACTTAACCCTAATTGCTCCTGTAAGTCGCTCTGGATAAGAGCGTCTGCTAAATGCCTAACATGTAAATGTAAAGCACATGTAAAGTATTTGAAAGAAAACTAATACTATTTCCACCCAGGTCTGTTAGAAGACATGGCTGTTGACCTACCTGATGATTTAGGGTTGAGGAAGGGGTGTTCCATTCCCTTCCCTACAGGGGTGGCAGGCAGGGACAGGGAGGCCTGGACAGCAGAGTCCAACTTGTCGATGTCCAGGGTAGGAGAGCTGGGGGCTGACAACCTGTCTGTAGTCCTCTCCCTCACTGCCATCTCCTGTCTCAGGTCTGGGGGGGGACAGATAGACAGAAATGAGATACAAGCACCAATACTGACATGATTACAGACATGACATTCTGTCTGGAGTCCTCTGTCTCAGGGCTGGGGCATCAGACACACCAATACAGACAGGATTCAACCAAATGGATAGGGCAGTGTTTCCCAACCCTCTCCTCAAGTACCAGCCAGCAGTTCCACTTATTTCATATATATCAGTACATCGGATTCAACTAATCATCAAGCCCTTGATTAGTAGGGGACAGGGAGTTAGGGGAAGGTAGGGTACAGTTAGGGGTTGTCCCCGTCCGTACCTCTGGCTTCATCCTTCAGTCTCTGAACTGACTCCAGTAGGTTCTCCTTCTCGTCCAGTTCACCCTCCAGGAAGGCATTCCTCTCTATGGCCTGGTTCAGACGACCCTCAAAGTCCTCCAGAGATACAATGGTCGCCCTGAGGGAGGGAGGAGAGGGGGAGGGAGGAGGAGGGAGGAGAGGAGAGGAGGAGGAGAGGAGAGGAGGAGAGGGGTTGGGGTGGACAACTGTTAGTAGCAGAAGCAGCTAAAAAAGTACAGTATCTGTGTGGGTTGGATAACTGGGTTAACACTAAGTGGAGACACTCTCTGAATACTGAGACACAGCTACCAGTCAACATGCTTTCATTTAGTTAACAACACAAAGTTAAATCCACTTAGCCTACAACCTAGGCTTGAAGTCAAGTAAAACATTTGAATGGCTGCGTTAGTAAGGTTAGTTTAGTTCTACTATGGTATATAGTGACCTCTTGGCTCTCTCCAGGTCATCGTTGGCCTGCTCCAGTTCTCTGACGTATTTATGAAGGTGCTCCTTGATTCCTCTGGTCTGTCCCAGGTCATCCTCTAACATGGAGACCTGCTTATAACTCTGAGCATACTGCTGCTCCAATTTCTCCTACGGGGGGAGAGAGAGGGGGAGAGAGAATGAGTGCGTGTGGAGATGGTTGCATTAAAGACTGAGGTGACAGGAAGGGAGAGCGTTGACATGCCAACTTTCTTAATGCTAACACAAACAGACTGCTAGTTAACATTCTTTCTCATAGTGTTCATAGATTCTAGAACTCCAACTCCTTTGTTCTCTGGCGAGGGGTGAAGTATGGCTCATAGGTGTCAGAATCAGGCCAGCCTGAGGTCTGGGTCAAGGGTCAACAGCACAGCTGGCCTAGCTACATGCCTCAGCTCAAGACAGGCCCATCATTCAGGAGAACAAGCTACAGCCCCCTCACATGAATCCCACAGTCCTCCCAGGCCCATTCATAGAACTTTAGCTCTAGGACATTAGCTTCTCTACAGTCGTGGTCAAAAGTTTTGAGAATGACACAAGTATTAGTCTTCGCAAAGTTCGCTGCTTCAGTGTTATGCGATATTTTTTGTCAGATGTTACTATGGTATATACTGAAGTATAATTACAAGCATTCCATAAGTGTCAAAGGCTTTTATTGACAATTACATTAAGTTTATGCAAAGAGTAAATATTTGCAGTGTTGACCCTTCTTTTTCAAGACCTCTGCAATCCGCCCTGGCATGCTGTCAATTAACTTCTGGGCCACATCCATCAAAACTGAGGCAGCAGACTGTGAAAATTAGTATTTGTGTCATTCTCAAAACTTTTGCCCATGACTGTAGTCTACAGCCCCCTCGCATGAATCCCAGTCCTCCCAGGCCCATTCATAGAACTTTAGCTCTAGGACATTAGCTTCTCTAGTCTACTGCACATTCACATGTTGCTGCCATATGTAGTCTAACACAACGGCTGTCTGTCTACCACACATGAATATGGTTATCCCACGGACAGAAGAAAATGGTCATGAAAGACAGCACCTCGTCATAAAGAAGCATGTGTTCTATTATCTCAGTGATATACATCCTGGTTAGCATCATGTTCCATTATCTCAGTGATATACATCCTGGTTAGCATCATGTTCCATTATCTCAGTGATATACATCCTGGTTAGCATCATGTTCCATTATCTCAGTGATATACATCCTGGTTAGCATCATGTTCTATTAACTCAGTGATATACATCCTGGTTAGCATCATGTTAACCATAGCTCTGTGTTCTTTTATCTCAGCGATATACATCCTGGTCAGTGATATACCTGGCTAGCACTAGTGATATAAGCAGTGATATACCTGGCTAGCACTAGTGATATAAGCAGTGATATACCTGGCTAGCATTAGTGATATAAGCAGTGATATACCTGGCTAGCACTAGTGATATAAGCAGTGATATATACCTGGCTAGCACTAGTGATATAAGCAGTAATATACCTGGCTAGCACTAGTGATATAAGCAGTGATATACCTGGCTAGCACTAGTGATATAAGCAGTAATATACCTGGCTAGCACTAGTGATATAAGCATGATATACCTGGCTAGCACTAGTGATATAAGCAGTGATATACCTGGCTAGCACTAGTGATATAAGCAGTGATATACCTGGCTAGCACTAGTGATATAAGCAGTGATATACCTGGCTAGCACTAGTGATATAAGCAGTGATATACCTGGCTAGCACTAGTGATATAAGCAGTGATATACCTGGCTAGCACTAGTGATATAAGCAGTGATATACCTGGCTAGCACTAGTGATATAAGCAGGATATACCTGGCTAGCACTAGTGATATAAGCAGTAATATACCTGGCTAGCACTAGTGATATAAGCAGTGATATACCTGGCTAGCACTAGTGATATAAGCAGTAATATACCTGGCTAGCACTAGTGATATAAGCAGTGATATACCTGGCTAGCACTAGTGATATAAGCAGTAATATACCTGGCTAGCACTAGTGATATAAGCAGTAATATACCTGGCTAGCACTAGTGATATAAGCAGTAATATACCTGGCTAGCACTAGTGATATAAGCAGTGATATACCTGGCTAGCACTAGTGATATAAGCAGTAATATACCTGGCTAGCACTAGTGATATAAGCAGTAATATACCTGGCTAGCACTAGTGATATAAGCAGTAATATACCTGGCTAGCACTAGTGATATAAGCAGTGATATACCTGGCTAGCACTAGTGATATAAGCAGTAATATACCTGGCTAGCACTAGTGATATAAGTAGTAATATACCTGGCTAGCACTAGTGATATAAGCAGTAATATACCTGGCTAGCACTAGTGATATAAGCAGTAATATACCTGGCTAGCCTGATAAGTATATACTAGTGATATAAGCAGTGATATACCTGGCTAGCACTAGTGATATAAGTAGTAATATACCTGCTAGCACTAGTGAATATAAGCAGTAATATACCTGGCTAGCACTAGTGATATAAGCAGTATATACCTGGCTAGCACTAGTGATATAAGCAGTAGATAACCTGGCTAGCACTAGTGATATAAGCAGTAATATACCTGGCTAGCACTAGTGATATAAGCAGTGAATATACCTGGCTAGCACTAGTGATATAAGCAGTGATATACCTTGGCTAGCACTAGTATAATAATATACCTGGCTAGCACTAGTGATGATAAGCAGTAATATACCTGGCTAGCACTAGTGATATAAGCAGTAATATACCTGGCTAGCACTAGTGATATAAGCAGTGATATACCTGGCTAGCACTAGTGATATAAGCAGTGATATACCTGGCTAGCACTAGTGATATAAGCAGTAATATACCTGGCTAGCACTAGTGATATAAGCAGTAATATACCTGGCTAGCACTAGTGATATAAGCAGTAATATACCTGGCTAGCACTAGTGATATAAGCAGTAATATACCTGGCTAGCACTAGTGATATAAGCAGTAATATACCTGGCTAGCACTAGTGATATAAGCAGTGATATACCTGGCTAGCACTAGTGATATAAGCAGTAATATACCTGGCTAGCACTAGTGATATAAGCAGTGATATACCTGGCTAGCACTAGTGATATAAGCAGTAATATACCTGGCTAGCACTAGTGATATAAGCAGTGATATACCTGGCTAGCACTAGTGATATAAGCAGTGATATACCTGGCTAGCACTAGTGATATAAGCAGTAATATACCTGGCTAGCACTAGTGATATAAGCAGTAATATACCTGGCTAGCACTAGTGATATAAGCAGTAATATACCTGGCTAGCACTAGTGATATAAGCAGTAATATACCTGGCTAGCACTAGTGATATAAGCAGTAATATACCTGGCTAGCACTAGTGATATAAGCAGTAATATACCTGGCTAGCACTAGTGATATAAGCAGTGATATACCTGGCTAGCACTAGTGATATAAGCAGTAATATACCTGGCTAGCACTAGTGATATAAGCAGTGATATACCTGGCTAGCACTAGTGATATAAGCAGTAATATACCTGGCTAGCACTAGTGATATAAGCAGTGATATACCTGGCTAGCACTAGTGATATAAGCAGTGATATACCTGGCTAGCACTAGTGATATAAGCAGTAATATACCTGGCTAGCACTAGTGATATAAGCAGTAATATACCTGGCTAGCACTAGTGATATAAGCAGTGATATACCTGGCTAGCACTAGTGATATAAGCAGTAATATACCTGGCTAGCACTAGTGATATAAGCAGTAATATACCTGGCTAGCACTAGTGATATAAGCAGTAATATACCTGGCTAGCACTAGTGATATAAGCAGTGATATACCTGGCTAGCACTAGTGATATAAGCAGTAATATACCTGGCTAGCACTAGTGATATAAGCAGTGATATACCTGGCTAGCACTAGTGATATAAGCAGTGATATACCTGGCTAGCATTAGCAGTGTGGGTTAAACATCCCTCTAGTTGTCATCCTATTACAGTGTACTGCTGAACGGCCTGGGGATTAGGCCAAGGCATGGAACTGCTGGACAGCCAACTATATATATATACAGTGGTGTGAAAAAGTGTTTGCCCCCTTCCTGATTTGTTATTTGTTTGCATGTTTGTCACACTTCAATGTTTCAGATCAAACAAATGTAAATATTAGTCAAAGATAACACAAGTAAACACAAAATGCAGTTTTGAAATGAAGGTTGTTATTATTAAGGGAAAACAAAATCCAAACCTACATGGCCCTGTGTGAAAAAGTGTTTGCCCCCCTGTTATAACACAACTCAACTGTGGTTTATCACACCTGAGTTCAATTCCTCTAGCCACACCCAGGCCTGATTACTGCCACACCTGTTCTCAATCAAGGAATCACTTAAATAGGACCTGCCTGACAAAGTGAAGTAGACCAAAAGATCCTCAAAAGCTAGACATCATGCCGAGATCCAAAGAAATTCAGGAACAAATGAGAAAGAAAGTAATTGAGATCCATCAGTCTGGAAAAGGTTATAAAGCCATTTCTAAAGCTTTGGGACTCCAGCGAACCACAGTGAGAGCCATTATCCACAAATGGCAAAAACATGGAACAGTGGTGAACCTTCCCAGGAGTGGCCGGCCGACCAAAATTACCCCAAGAGCGCAGCGACGACTCATCCAAGAGGTCACAAAAGACCCCACAACAACATCCAAAGAGCTGCAGCCCTCACTTGCCTCAGTTAAGGTCAGTGTTCATGACTCCACCATAAGAAAGAGACTGGGCAAAAATGGCCTGCATGGCAGAGTTCCAAGACGAAAACCACTGCTGAGCAAAAATAACATTAAGGCTCGTCTCATTTTTGCCAGAAAACATCTTGATGATCCCCAAGACCTTTGGGGAAAATACTCTGTGGACTGACGAGACAAAAGTTGAACTTTTTGGAAGGTGTGTGTCCCATTACATCTGGCGTAAAAGTAACACTGCATTTCAGAAAAACAACATCATACCAACAGTAAAACATGGTGGTGGTAGTGTGATGGTCTGGGCCTGTTTTGCTGCTTCAGGACCTGGAAGACTTGCTGTGATAAATGGAACCATGAATTCTGCTGTACCAAAAAATCCTGAAGGAGAATGTCCGGCTATCTGTTCGTGACCTCAAGCTGAAGAGAACTTGGGTTCTGCAGCAGGACAATGATCCAAAACACACCAGCAAGTCCACCTCTGAATGGCTGAAGAAAAACTAAATGAAGACTTTGGAGTGGCCTAGTCAAAGTCCTGACCTGAATCCTATTGAGATGCTGTGGCATGACCTTAAAAAGGCAGTTCATGCTCGAAAACCCTCCAATGTGGCTGAATTACAACAATTCTGCAAAGATGAGTGGGCCAAAATTCCTCCACAGCGCTGTAAAAGACTCATTGCAAGTTATCGCAAACGCTTGATTGCAGTTGTTGCTGCTAAGGGTGGCCCAACCAGTTATTAGGTTGTAGGGGGCAATCACTTTTTCACACAGGGCCATGTGGGTTTGGATTTTGTTTTCCCTTAATAATAATAACAACCTTAATTTCAAAACTGCATTTTGTGTTTACTTGTGTTATCTTTGACTAATATTTAAATTTGTTTGATGATCTGAAACATTTAAGTGTGACAAACATGCAAATAAATAAGAAATCAGGCAAACACTTTTTCACACCACTGTGTGTGTGTGTGTGTGTGTGTGTGTGTGTGTGTGTGTGTATGTATGTATGTACAGTGGGGAAAAAAAGTATTTAGTCAGCCACCAATTGTGCAAGTTCTCCCACTTAAAAAGATGAGAGAGGCCTGTAATTTTCATCATAGGTACATGTCAACTATGACAGACAAATTGAGGAAAAAAAATCCAGAAAATCACATTGTAGGATTTTTAATGAATTTATTTGCAAATGATGGTGGAAAATAAGTATTTTGTCACCTACAAACAAGCAAGATTTCTGGCTCTCACAGACCTGTAACTTCTTTTTTAAGAGGCTTCTCTGTCCTCCAATCGTTACCTGTATTAATGGCACCTGTTTGAACTTGTTATCAGTATAAAAGACACATGTCCACAACCTCAAACAGTCACACTCCAAACTCCACTATGGCCAAGACGAAAGAGCTGTCAAAGGACACCAGAAACTAAATTGTAGACCTGCACCAGGCTGGGAAGACTGAATCTGCAATAGGTAAGCAGCTTGGTTTGAAGAAATCAACTGTGGGAGCAATTATTAGGAAATGGAAGACATACAAGACCACTGATAATCTCCCTCGATCTGGGGCTCCACGCAAGATCTCACCCCGTGGGGTCAAAATGATCACAAGAACGGTGAGCAAAAATCCCAGAACCACACGGGGGGACCTAGTGAATGACCTGCAGAAAGCTGGGACCAAAGTAACAAAGCCTACCATCAGTAACACACTACGCCGCCAGGGACTCAAATCATGCAGTGCCAGACGTGTTCCCCTGCTTAAGCCAGTACATGTCCAAGCCCGTCTGAAGTTTGCTAGAGTGCATTTGGATGATCCAAAAGAGGATTGGGAGAATGTCATATGGTCAGATGAAACCAAAATATAACTTTTTGGTAAAAACCCAACTCGTCGTGTTTGGAGGGCAAAGAATGCTGAGTTGCATCCAAAGAACACCATACCTACTGTGAAGCATGGGGGTGGAAACATCATGCTTTGGGACTGTTTTTCTGCAAAGGGACCAGGACGACTGATCCGTGTAAAGGAAAGAATGAATGGGGCCATGTATCGTGAGATTTTGAGTGAAAACCTCCTTCCATCAGCAAGGGCATTGAAGATGAAATGTGGCTGGGTCTTTCAGCATGACAATGATCCCAAACACACCGCTCGGGCAACGAAGGAGTGGCTTCGTAAGAAGCATTTCAAGGTCCTGGAGTGGCCTAGCCAGTCTCCAGATCTCAACCCCATAGAAAATCATTGGAGGGAGTTGAAAGTCCATGTTGCCCAGCGACAAACCCAAAACATCACTGCTCTAGAGGAGATCTGCATGGAGGAATGGGCCATAATACCAGCAACAGTGTGTGAAAACCTTGTGAAGACTTACAGAAAACGTTTGACCTGTGTCATTGCCAACAAAGGGTATATAACAAAGTATTGAGAAACTTTCGTTATTGACCAAATACTTATTTTCCACCATAATTTGCAAATAAATTCATAAAAAATCCTACAATGTGATTTTCTGGATTTTTTTTCCTCATTTTGTCTGTCATAGTTGACGTGTACCTATGATGAAAATTACAGGCCTCTCTCATCTTTTTAAGTGGGAGAACTTGCAGAATTGATGGCTGACTAAATACATTTTTTCCCCACTGTATGTATGTATGTATGTATGTATATGTGTGTATATATATATATATATATATATATATATATATATATATATATATATATATCACTCACTCATCCAGATGTGGTTGTTGAGCCCTGTTTCCAGTCCCTGGTGAATGGGTGACATTAACTGATATTCCGTTCCTGTAATCCAGTGTTTGCCAAACCAAATCCTCAGGAACAGTGTTTACCAAACCAAATCCACAGGAACAGTGTTTACCAAACCGAATCCACAGGAACAGTGTTTACCAAACCGAATCCACAGGAACAGTGTTTGCTGAACTGAATCCCCAACCGTTTCACATATTTGTTCAATTCCAACACCAAGAGGTACAACATTTACCTTGAGGTTGTCCAGCTCGCACTTCAGTGTTTGGTTCTAACCCCTCTGTGTGTGTGTGTGTGTGTGTGTGTGTGTCCGTTCTTGCGTATGTTACCTTGAGGTTGTCCAACTCGCTCTTCAGTCTTTGGTTCTCTGTGTGCAGGTCTCTGAGGCGGTGTTCAGCCTGTCCTAGCTGAGCCTCTAACTCTGCCTCCAGCTCTCTGCTCCCTTCCTGGAACTCCAGCAACTCCTCCTGGGCCTCATGGTAACTGGGAAACACATGGGAGAGAGAGGACTGTTACACACAGCCACACGGTCTCTCCTGCAACTCCACCAGCTCCTCATGGTAGCTGGAGGACACACGGGAGAGACTGTTGTTTTATGATCAATTGTGGTACTAATGTCTGGGAGTAACATCACCTGGACATTCAGACCTAGGCCTATCCTGTGTGGTCAGTGGAACATGTCTGAACCCACCTAGTCTCTTAACTCATAATATCCTGTCACCAGACCCCTTGACCTCTCACCCGTCTCAGAACACATGGAACAGCAGCAGGCCTTTAGGAGCCTTCTGTATCCTCTAATGACAAACATCTGCTGAGGTCATAAAACTATCAGACCTGCTGAGGTCATAAAGCTTTATCAGACATGAGGTACTGTCTCTGTCAAAAAGCTCTATCAGACCTGCTGAGGTCATAAAGCTTTATCAGACATGAGGTACTGTCTCTGTCTTAAAACTATATCAGACCTCAGTCCAGTCTGTATTCAGTCTATATTCAGACTCACTGGACTGTGTCCAGACTTGCTGACCCACACTATGTGCTAGATACAACCTAGTAATACAGTCCAGTAATATCTACAGATAGGCCTAGCTGAAAGGTCTGGACTCCTGGATTGTAGCATAGCACTTTCTCTTGTCCCATGTGGCTGTTTATCAGTCTATTAACTGTTTGGCCATAGACGTAAAGCAACTAGAACTTACTGTCTGACCATAGACATAAAACAGAACTTACTGTCTGTCTGGTCATAGCTGTAATGGAACTAGAATGGTCCTGCATGGCCCCTGACTCATCCGTCATGACAAAGGCCAATGCCATGCTAGAGCTGAATGAATGCAGACTTTCCATGCCATTCATTCAGTCAGGTGGCTCCATTGAATTGAATTAGAAGGGTTGGTTCATGTGCATGAGCATAGGGCATGGTATACTAATTTGACAGCCAGATATGTTAGCCTGGTCCAAGATCTGTTAGTGCTATAAAATAATTTAATAACATACTCCATTTAGCAGACCCTGAGTGCATATACAGCGCCTTGCAAAAGTATTCATCCCCCTTGGCGCTTTTCCTATTTTGTTGCATTACAACCTGTAATTTAAATGGATTTTAAATTTGGATTTCATGTAATGGACATACACAAAATAGTCAAAATTGGTGAAGTGAAATTAAAAAGATTCCTTGTTAAAAAAAATACACAATGTCTTTTTACAGAAAAGTGGTGCATGGATATGTATTCACCCCCTTTGCTATGAAGACCCTAAATAAGATCTGGTGCAACCAATTACCTTCAGAAGTCACATCATTAGTTAGATTGCACACAGGTGACTTTATTTAAGTGTCACATGATCTGTCACATGATCTCAGTATATATACACCTGTTCTGAAAGGCCCCAGAGTCTGCAACACCACTAAGCAAGGGGCACCACCAAGCAAGCGGCACCATGAAGACCAAGGTGCTCTCCAAACAGGTCAGGGACAAAGTTCTGGAGAAGTACAGATCAGGGTTGGGTTATAAAAAAATATCCGAAACTTTGAACATCCGACGGAGCACCATTAAATCCATTATTAAAAAATGGAAAGAATATGGCACCACAACAAACCTGCCAAGAGAGGGCCGCCCACCAAAACTCACGGACCAGGCAAGGAGGGCATTAATCAGAGAGGCAACAAAGAGACCAAAGATAACCCTGAAGGAGCTGCAAAGCTCCACAGCGGAGATTGGAGTATCTGTCCATAGGACCACTTTAAGCCATACACTCCACAGAGCTGGGCTTTACGGAAGGGTGGCCAGAAAAAATCCACTTCTTAAAGAAAAAAATAAGCAAAACGTTTGGTGTTCGCCAAAAGGCATGTGGGAGACTCCCCAAACATATGGAAGAAGGTACTCTGGTCAGATGACACTCAAATTGAGCTTTTTGACCATCAAGGTAAACGCTATGTCTGGCGCAAACCCAACACCTCTCATCACACCCAGAACTCCATCCCCACAGTGAAGCATGGTGGTGGCAGCATCATGCTGTGGGGATGTTTTTCATCGGCAGGGACTGGGAAACTGGTCAGAATTGAAGGAATGATGGATGGCGCTAAATACGGGGAAATTCTTGAGGGAAACCTGTTTCAGTCTTCCAGAGATTTGAGACTGGGACGGAGGTTCACCTTCCAGCAGGACAATAACCCTAAGCATACTGCTAAAGCAACACTTGAGTGGTTTAAGGGGAAACATTTAAATGTCTTGGAATGGCCTGGTCAAAGCCCAGACCTCAATCCAATTGAGAATCTGTGGTATGACTTAAAGATTGCTGTACACCAGCGGAACCAATCCAACTTGAAGGAGCAGTTTTGCCTTGAAGAATGGGCAAAAATCCCAGTGGCTAGATGTGCCAAGCTTATAGAGAAATACCCGAGACTTGCAGTTGTAATTGCTGCAAATGGTGGCTCTACAAAGTATTGACTTTGGGGGGGGGTAAATAGTTATGCACGCTCAAGTTCTGTTTTTTTTGTCTTATTTCTTGTTTGTTTCACAATAAAAAATATTTTGCAAGCCACTGTATTTTACATATGGGTGGTCCCAGGAATCGAACCCACTACCCTGGCATTGCCATGCTCTATCAACTGAGCTACAAAGGACCACTGTTTGGTATGTCTGATCAAAAGTAGTGCACTATATAGGGAATAGGGTGTCATTTGGGACTTACTCATAAACAAACACTAGGCCTATACTCAAGAATGTGGTGTCAACACTGACAGGGTCAGGCTGTACAGAGCCTGGGAAAACGTAACCACCTAAACATGTGGGGTATTTTATCCATCCATGAGTTGTTTTTTCCCCCTCTCCTCTCCTGGGCAAATTCTTAAAAAACCTCCTGGTTTGAACCCCCTCAGTACAGTACAGTGTCCTAGCTACCACAGCTCTGAGACTGAAACCCCATCCAAAACACAAACCTCTAGGCTTTACCCAGGGTACTGGTGAGGATCTGTGAGGACAAGAATGCTATAGTTAAACCTTAGCAATATGGCTAACATTCCATCTAACCTATCAGAGGAAAAAGTGGAGTTACTGCCATATTGCGTCCATATAGCTTACTTTTCTAACTAATTCAGATCTGGGGGATAGGGGCTGTTTCTGGACAGGGCCTGAGACTGAGCAGAGACTGCAGGCTGTAGTTCCATGGGTATGGGAGAGATACCACCTGTACCAACAGACACAGGGATGACTGCATGTTAGCAGTATTAATACCAACAGACAGGGAGACTCAGCATGTTAGCAGTATTAATACCAACAGACAGGGAGACTCAGCATGTTAGCAGTATTAATACCAACAGGCAGGGAGACTCAGCATGTTAGCAGTATTAATACCAACAGACAGGGTGCTCAGCATGTTAGCACAGGGAGACTCACCATGTAGCATTATTAATACCAACAGACAGGGAGACTCAGCATGTTAGCAGTATTAATACCAACAGACAGGGAGACTCAGCATGTTAGCAGTATTAATACCAACAGACAGGGAGACTCAGCATGTTAGCAGTATTAATACCAACAGACAGGGAGACTCAGCATGTTAGCAGTATTAATACCAACAGACAGGGTGCTCAGCATGTTAGCAGTATTAATACCAACAGACAGGGTGCTCAGCATGTTAGCAGTATAATACCCAACAGACAGGGAGACTCAGCATGTTAGCAGTATTAATACCAACAGACAGGGAGACTCAGCATGTTAGCAGTATTAATACCAACAGACAGGGTGCTCAGCATGTTAGCAGTATTAATACCAACAGACAGGGAGACTCAGCATGTTAGCAGTATTAATACCAACAGACAGGGTGCTCAGCATGTTAGCAGTATTAATACCAACAGACAGGGAGACTCAGCATGTTAGCAGTATTAATACCAACAGACAGGGTGCTCAGCATGTGTAGCAGTATTAATACATGTTAGCATTATTAATACCAACAGGACCAGGAGACTCAGCATGTTAGCAGTATTAATACCAACAGGCAGGGAGACTCAGCATGTTAGCAGTATTAATACCAACAGACAGGGAGACTCAGCATGTTAGCAGTATTAATACCAACAGGCAGGGAGACTCAGCATGTTAGCCAGTATTAATACCAACAGACAGGGAGACTCAGCAATGTTAGCAGTATTAATACCAACAGACCGGGAGACTCAGCATGTTAGCAGTATTAATACCAACAGACAGGGAGACTCAGCATGTTAGCAGTATTAATACCAACAGACAGGGAGACTCAGCATGTTAGCAGTATTAATACCAACAGACAGGGAGACTCAGCATGTTAGCAGTAATTAATACCAACAAGGCAGGGAGACTCAGAATGTTAGCAGTATTAATACCAACAGACAGGAGACTCAGCATGTTAGCAGTATTAATACCAACAGGGGCCAGCAGTATTAATACCAACAGGCAGGGAGACTCAGCATGTTAGCAGTATTAATACCAACAGACAGGGGACTCAGCATGTTAGCAGTATTAATACCAACAGGCAGGGAGACTCAGCATGTTAGCAGTATTAATACCAACAGGCAGGGAGACTCAGCATGTTAGCAGTATTAATACCAACAGACAGGGAGACTCAGCATGTTAGCAGTATTAATACCAACAGACAGGGAGACTCAGCATGTTAGCAGTATTAATACCAACAGACAGGGAGACTCAGCATGTTAGCAGTATTAATACCAACAGACAGGGTGCTCAGCATGTTAGCAGTATTAATACCAACAGACAGGGTGCTCAGCATGTTAGCAGTATTAATACCAACAGACAGGGAGACTCAGCATGTTAGCAGTATTAATACCAACAGACAGGGAGACTCAGCATGTTAGCAGTATTAATACCAACAGACAGGGAGACTCAGCATGTTAGCAGTATTAATACCAACAGACAGGGTGCTCAGCATGTTAGCAGTATTAATACCAACAGACAGGGAGACTCAGCATGTTAGCAGTATTAATACCAACAGACAGGGTGCTCAGTATGTTAGCAGTATTAATACCAACAGACAGGGAGACTCAGCATGTTAGCAGTATTAATACCAACAGACAGGGTGCTCAGCATGTTAGCAGTATTAATACCATATGGTCAAGTGTACCTAAACAGAAGCCTAATAAGACAGATGGCTATTTCTGAATAGACTAGGTCTAAGTCTTGGAGGTTTACACATAGCCTGAACCTGTTTTGCTGTAAAATGGCTATGATATACTCAAATAATTACTGCAATCTTGATTAAATTATTTCATCTACTATTACTTTTCTTTTGGGGATCCAAGTATTCTACAATGTCATTGAAAATGTAATAATTAATTAACATGATTAACTAGGCAAACTCAGGAGAGGAAATGTAGTCTAATCTACACTAATGAAATCATGATTCTATATTGCTGTTGTCAAGTTGTTTACACTGTAGTCCTATATCATGCTGAACTAGTAACAGAGTTTACACTGTAGTCCTATATATCATGCTGAACTAGTAGCAGAGTTTACACTGTAGTCCTATATATCATGCTGAACTAGTAACATAATTTACACTATAGTCCTATATCATGCTGAACTAGTAACAGAATTTACACTGTAGTCCTATATCGTGCTGAACTAGTAGCAGAGTTTACACTGTAGTCCTCTATATCGTGCTGAACTAGTAGCAGAGTTTACACTGTAGTCCTATATATTGTGCTGAACTAGTAGCAGAGTTTACACCGTAGTCCTCTATATTGTGCTGAACTAGTAGCAGAGTTTACACTGTAGTCCTATATCATGCTGAACTAGTAACAGAGTTTACACTGTAGTCCTATATCATGCTGAACTAGTAGCAGAGTTTACACTGTAGTCCTCTATATCGTGCTGAACTAGTAGCAGAGTTTACACTGTAGTCCTCTATATCGTGCTGAACTAGTAGCAGAGTTTACACCGTAGTCCTCTATATTGTGCTGAACTAGTAGCAGAGTTTACACCGTAGTCCTCTATATTGTGCTGAACTAGTAGCAGAGTTTACACTGTAGTCCTATATATTGTGCTGAACTAGTAACAGAGTTTACACTGTAGTCCTATATATCGTGCTGAACTAGTAGCAGAGTTTACACCGTAGTCCTCTATATTGTGCTGAACTAGTAGCAGAGTTTACACTGTAGTGTTATATCATGCTGAACTAGTAGCAGAGTTTACACCGTAGTCCTCTATATTGTGCTGAACTAGTAGCAGAGTTTACACTGTAGTGTTATATCATGCTGAACTAGTAGCAGAGTGTAATGATGAAATGTCATAGTATTGTGAGGACAGAGGTAGACTTGCTAGATAATTAGTTTGGGGCCATGAAGTCTACATTCCTTGTGTTGAAGTAGATTAGTGATGGTTAGGGTAGTGTGAGTGATGGACAGGATGTAGTGACCTGGGGGCAAAGGTTCATAATAACAGAGTCAGGGAGGCCTATGATGGTTTCCAGATGTATGTGAAAGGAAGATGACCAAGGGTGTATAAGGTAGAGTGTTTCCTTTGTTAGTGAGTTGGAAACGTCAAAAGGCAAAGCTCTCCCCTTTGGTGTCTCTAACCCGGTACAGATCATTAAACATTTGCATTAACTGTCTACAAAGTGTCTAAGTATATCCTTACATTCGTAATCACTTGATACCTAGAAACTCATCATAACACAGAGTTTACACTGTTGTCCTCTATATTGTGCTGAACTAGTAGCAGAGTTTACACTGTAGTCCTCTATATCGTGCTGAACTAGTAGCAGAGTTTACACTGTAGTCCTATATATCGTGCTGAACTAGTAGCAGTTTACACTGTAGTCCTATATCATGCTGAACTAGTAGCAGAGTTTACACTGTAGTCCTATATCATGCTGAACTAGTAGCAGAGTTTACACCGTAGTCCTCTATATTGTGCTGAACTAGTAGCAGAGTTTACACTGTAGTCCTATATATCATGCTGAACTAGTAGCAGAGTTTACACTGTAGTCCTATATATCGTGCTGAACTAGTAGCAGAGTTTACACTGTAGTCCTATATATCGTGCTGAACTAGTAGCAGAGTTTACACTGTAGTCCTATATATGCTGAATAGTAGCAGAGTTTACACTGTATCCTTATTCGTCTGAACTAGTAGCAGAGTTTACACTGTAGTCCTATATATCGTGCTGAACTAGTAGCAGAGTTTACACTGTAGTCCTATATATCGTGCTGAACTAGTAGCAGAGTTTACACTGTAGTCCTATATATCGTGCTGAACTAGTAGCAGAGTTTACACTGTAGTCCTATATATCGTGCTGAACTAGTAGCAGAGTTTACACTGTAGTGTTATATCGTGCTGAACTAGTAACAGAGTTTACACTGTAGTCCTATATATCATGCTGAACTAGTAGCAGAGTTTACACTGTAGTCCTATATATCATGCTGAACTAGTAGCAGAGTTTACACTGTAGTCCTATATCATGCTGAACTAGTAGCAGAGTTTACACTGTAGTCCTATATATCATGCTGAACTAGTAGCAGAGTTTACACTGTAGTCCTATATATCATGCTGAACTAGTAACAGAGTTTACACTGTTTTATTTATTTATTTTTATTTTATTTAACCTTTATTTAACCAGGTAAGCCAGTTGAGAACAAGTTCTCATTTACAACTGCGACCTGGCCAAGATAAAGCAAAGCAGTGCGATAAAAACAACAACACAGAGTTACATATGGGGTAAAAAAACAAAGTAAAAAAAAATACAACAGAAAATATATATACAGTGTGTGCAAATGTAGCAAGTTATGGAGGTAAGGCAATAAAAAGGCTATAGTGCAAAATAATTACAATTAGTATTAACACTGGAATGCTAGATGTGCAAGAGATTATGTGCAAATAGAGATACTGGGGTGCAACAGAGCAAAATAAATAACAATATAGGGATGAGGTAGTTGGGTGGGCTAATTTCAGATGGGCTGTGTACAGGTGCAGTGATCGGTAAGGTGCTCTGACAACTGATGCTTAAAGTTAGTGAGGGAGATAAGAGTCTCCAGCTTCAGAGATTTTTGCAATTCGTTCCAGTCATTGCCAGCAGAGAACTGGAAGGAATGGCGGCCAAAGGTGGTGTTGTCTTTGGGGATGACCAGTGAGATATACCTGCTGGAGCGCAGACTACGGGTGGGTGCTGCTATGGTGACCAATGAGCTAAGATAAGGTGGGGATTTGCCTATCAGTGATTTATAGATGGCCTGGAGCCAGTGGGTTTGACGACGAACATGTAGTGAGGACCAGCCAACAAGAGCGTACAGGTCACAGTGGTGGGTAGCGTTTGGGGCTTTGGAGACAAAACGGATGGCACCGTGATAGACTACATCCAATTTGCTGAGTAGAGTGTTGGAGGCTATTTTGTAAATGACATCGCCGAAGTCAAGGATCGGTAGGATAGTCAGTTTTACGAGGGCATGTTTGGCAGCATGAGTGAAGGAGGCTTTGTTGCGAAATAGGAAGCCGATTCTACATTTAACTTTGGATTGGAGATTCTTAATGTGAGTCTGGAAGGAGAGTTTACAGTCTAACCAGACACCTAGGTATTTGTAGTTGTCCACATACTCTAGGTCAGACCCGTCGAGAGTAGTGATTCTAGTCGGGTGGGCGGGTGCCAGCAGCGTTCGATTGAAGAGCATGCATTTAGTTTTACTAGTGTTTAAGAGCAGTTGGAGGCTACTGAAGGAGTTTTGTATGGCATTGAAGCTCGTTTGGAGGTTTGTTAACACAGTGTCCAATGAAGGGCCAGATGTATACAAAATGGTGTCGTCTGCGTAGAGGTGGATCTGAGAGTCACCAGCAGCAAGAGCGACATCATTGATATACACTGAGAAAAGAGTCGGCCCAAGAATTGAACCCTGTGGCACCCCCATAGAGACTGCCATAGGTCCAGACAACAGGCCCTCCGATTTGACACATTGAACTCTATCTGAGAAGTAGTTGGTGAACCAGGCGAGGCAGTCATTTGAGAAACCAAGGCTAGATATAGAGATGTAGTCCTATATCATGCTGAACTAGTAGCAGAGTTTACACTGTAGGTCTATATCATGCTGAACTAGTAACAGAGTTTACACTGTAGTTCTATATCATGCTGAACTAGTAGCAGAGTTTACACTGTAGTCCTATATCGTGCTGAACTAGTAGCAGAGTTTACACTGTAGTCCTATATCATGCTGAACTAGTAGCAGAGTTTACACTGTAGTTCTATATCATGCTGAACTAGTAGCAGAGTTTACACTGTAGTCCTATATCGTGCTGAACTAGTAACAGAGTTTACACTGTAGTCCTATATCATGCTGAACTAGTAGCAGAGTTTACACTGTAGTCCTATATCATGCTGAACTAGTAGCAGAGTTTACACTGTAGTCCTATATCATGCTGAACTAGTAGCAGAGTTTACAATGTAGTCCTATATCATGCTGAACTAGTAGCAGAGTTTACACTGTGGTCCTATATCATGCTGAACTAGTAGCAGAGTTTACACTGTAGTCCTATATCATGCTGAACTAGTAGCAGAGTTTACACTGTGGTCCTATATCATGCTGAACTAGTAGCAGAGTTTACACTGTGGTCCTATATCATGCTGAACTAGTAGCAGAGTTTACACTGTAGTCCTATATCGTGTGAGTAACAGAGTTTGAGCAACTTGGCAGTGTGTGTCTTGCCATTATGTAACAGAGGATCTAAACTTGTTTGATGCAAAGCTGAGTGATTGCAGTCAGTACAATGCTGTTTGTAAGTAGTGTGTGTGTCCATTCCACTGATCTTAGCGGTCTCATCTATGACAAAGATTTTACTCTAGTCTGTTCAATGCCTATGGGAAGGAAGGAAGGGTAGTAGTCTATAGGTCTGACTGTGACAAAAAGAAAGGTTCATTCTTCTAGAACACCCTGCTGGATATAGGATATCTGTAAAAGTGACACCAGAGACGTATTCAGTAGTAACCAAACAGAAGAAAGCGCACTGAAACGAGGAGGTAGGCTACTATCTGAACCAGTACAATAAGAAACGCAAATCTTCCTTGCAAAATGTTTTCCATTACAACACGTTTTACTATGTGTAAATGTAAGACTACGGTGTGCACTAATGATTACTACCCAGCACTAAGAACAACTAGGCCTAAACAAACTAGGCCTGATCTAGGCCAATGAATCCACTGCTTTCTGTGTCGATGGTAACGTTAACCACCAAGGCCTATAGAGGAACAGGTCATGTGTCAGATGATCACATGACCGTTATGACATAACCTTGTTATTAATCTTCCAGCGTTAAGAGCAAACATAAAAGCTTTGC